CAGCTTTTAAGATGACTCATTTCCTTCAGACTGATAAACCCACCTGGTCCCTGAATCGAGACAGAGGAGGGGGCACTCACAGCGCTCTACTATATGAGACATATGTTTATCTTCCTGTAAATACCAAAATGAATCTACAAATTTTTATTTATTTTTTTATTTGGGGGTTTTAAAGGTCCCATATTATGCAAAATTGAGTCTTGTGAGCTTTAAGTCATGTTAGAATGTGGTTACTTCATCAAAACATACTGAGAGTTGTGTTTTGTTTAATTCACACATGTTTTTCTCATTTTCTGTATATGGACAAGCCATGGCTCAAAAGAAAGCTCAGAACCTCCAGAATTCCCTCACTGCGCTGCAGAGGCTGCACTACCACTGATCAAAGATAGTTGAAGGTGCTGAGGTTTAAGTAGTGATGATTCAGATCAGAGAGAGTCCTATAGGTCTATAATAGAACTATTAAGTCTGACCAAGTCTGAAAATGGGCACCATAATTTCCACTGTAGTTTTGAACAAAAAAATATCCAAAGAAGGACCAAAAAAGTGGATAAAATGAACACTAAATTAAACAAAGCCACAAACTGAAGAGCTGTCCAAGTCCCACCTGAAAGAGTTTGTGGATACAACCAGTGGTAGGCTACAACACTGCCCTATAGCAGTGCATAATAATAACACAACTGAAGACTGAAGCTTTCATCCAGAGTTTTTATCCACAGACGTAACAATGTGTGGGCGCTTGCGAAGTAAAGCACCTCGAGCCCGGTGGCAATTATATGGCCATTAAAAAGCATGTCACAAATGCAGCGTAACCAACAAAACTACTATGATAGCAAAAAACACTGTTAGAAACTCAAACATATTTTTCTTATTACCATGTTTATTATATTTTCTTTTTAAACTTAGTTATACATGCCGTAGGTCTGTATAATGCATCTTCATTAATAGCTGATGAATGCAAGCGAAAGCTAACTTAAATATATTTACTATGTTGCTATGGTTGTTTCTATGTTGCTGCTGAACTTTGAATTTTCTTCAGGATCATTCTATCCATCTATCTCTCTAGTTCTGTTTTTTTCTTCAGTATCAATACTTAAAATTATATATATGTTTTTGGCAAACCATTTAAAAGGAACTGTAAGCTTTGTAAGATTTTGATTTTATAAACATGATCCAACAGTGTCCCCAGATTTGAGGTAGGGATAGATCAAACCAAATGTAGCTTTTAATGATTGTATGCTGATTTATTCTTAATTAATAAAACATTAGACATGGCCAAGTTGTTTTGGTTCTAAAGACGATTATTACAGAACGCAAAATGAGCCTCAACTGAGTTTCTCATTTGGTTTTCCAGTTTCAGCGCTGAAATTCGGTTGGTTTAAGCCTAAAGGACTGAATCTTGCCAACTGTGCATTACATAGCATGCATAGAGTATCATCAAATGTACCTAGGAATGCACTGATCCAGCTTTTATTGTTCTGATACCAATGTCTACATTTTGGTTTTAAGTATCTGCTGATACCCGATATCAACCTATTATACTAGGACAAAGATTGAATTATGATTTACTTCCTTTAATAAGAAATAGCTTATGGTATATATTTAGTCTTTTGCTATTTGTCATTTAAAGGAACCACAACTTCGAAAAAATACAAGGTCAATATCTGGAGGTGTTTGAGATGAACCTTGGCCAGTAAATCGTCATAATAGACCAATTTATATACCAAAATGGGATATCGACTAAACAGATATCTTGGAACTGATGTTCGATCCATCAAAAATGTCAGTATCTGATACCAGTATTATATCAGTGCATCCTTAAGTGTACCTAACAATAACTACTTAATACAGAACAAAATACTGCAGCAAAAATAATATATATCTGAAATGTGATACTTTCTGACCTAAACTTACATACATGGTCTAAAGGGCGCGCTCAGTTTGTAATGTTACACAGTGTGGGAGGTGTCCTTAAAACCTACTTTAGTGCTAATGAGACCACAGAGGAAGAGGAGGAGGAAGAAGAGGGAAGGATGTGATCCCAACTTACTAATGGATCAAATGTCAGCGGCCATTAAGAGTATGTAAGGTCTGGAAGAACTGCTATAGTAAAACAAAAGTTTACCAAAATAATCTTCCAATCACCACAACAGAAACATATGTTTTTTTTATAAGTGCAGTGGTCAAATATATAAAGGTCTTGGAGTCAGCAGGCCACAAATCTAGAACCTCCAATCGTATGGCACAATGTAGGATTATCAAAAGCATCGAAAAGTACATACTAATCGATACTTAAGATAGATTCTCATTTGAGCAGATATCGATGCTAAAAAAGTCACATTCACGGGACAGAAATTATTAATGAACCAGTCCTAAATAGTTTTAGAATGATCTTGAGCTGTATCAGAACAAGTATAAGACCACACAGACTAGTACACGCCCATGGTTCACTATGGAACCTACCTGGACGGCTGAGGGATTACATAGATTTAAGTCCACATGGTAATATAAAAGAAAGTGCTATGATTTAATGCTAAAAATCACATTCTATTGTCCAAAGAAGGAATGTTTTTAATTATCATTGGGTATTGGTATGGAGTATAAGTCTATTCTTTAGTATCACAATCAAGTATGACATAGTATTGTGGCATTATTAGTACAAAGATAAGTATTGCTGCTATTACATTGAAATTTATGCCTTCACATTTTCATTTCATTGTACAATTTTTAAATGCATCCAGGAACATTTCAGCGTTTCAGAGAACAGACATTATTTGCTAACACAGATGACCCCCGTACATTTTAGAACATGATTGTAGAGGTATTGTGGGTTCATTTTATTTATTTATTTTTTAATTTTGTAGAAGACTGCCTGTAGGATCTATGTAGCTGTGCAAGTTCAAACAGTGAGCTCGATCTATACTTTTTTTTTGTTTTTATGACTGATGCCAATAGTTATGAATCCAGAGAAAATGAAGGCCTATAAACTCTGTTGGTTTTTTTTGGCCTGATGTATAAAGACAATTTTAATTATTTTCCCCAAATTATATGATTTGAAATGACTCATCCACAAACCTGTTTTCTTACAAGGTGGATACAAGAGCTGTGTAGTCATGTTTTGTGTAGTGCTCTTCGCATTCAAATAAAGCGTGATGCCTTCTTTAAACAAAATAAAATATCGACCTCTGCAAGAGATTTAAGACCAACAGCAAAAACTGCATATATTTTCTAACCGATATACCGATTGAGCTCTAATTTCGATTCCATTGCAATATATTGTCCAGCCCTAAGAATGCCTCACACATACAACTTAAAGGTGCACTATAACTTTTCTGGCATGGCACCTGCTCATCTCTCTGGTACTTTACATAGAATGTTCCGCAGCATTTCATTAAAATTGTCTCCATTGTGCCAAGCCAGGCCAAGTTACAGGTGATATCTGTGGAGAGGTGAACTCCCTCACAGTAAGAATGTGTGTAGTGTTTACTATAAAAAAAAACTACAAATTATAAATTAATAATATAAAGTTGTAATGCCAAACTGTGGAACATTCCAAACAAGCAGGTATAAAGCTACGTATAGCGTCATCTTTAAAGGTGCGTTGTGGCCCATCAAATGCTTTTCTCCAAGGAGAGGTTATTCCTTTGTCTGGAACATTTCAGAGTATGGTATTAAACCTTTCTATCTTCATGGAGGCCAAACCAGGCCAACTTACAGGTCAGATCTGTAAGTTGGCCTGTAAGTTGTAATTGAGTAAATGTAAGGCAGACGTGGCATTTCTATAGAAACAAGAAGATGACAGACCGTCCACCAGATAAGTTACACAATGCACCTTTACCCAAATCAACTTCCTCTTTAACAATAGGGACTATACCAGAGCATCTTGATTAAACAGTGTGGGTGGGCTACTGGGCTTCTGACTGTTAATACAGGGGAATACCAGGGCATCTGGTAGTGGCAACGGGAGCCCACACACCTGCCTAATGGTGAAGAGGAATTTACAAAGCGAGCACTACACAAGCCTCTGGGAAATTACACAGACTTTACTAATTACAAATTGTCAGCATCAAATTGAGAGTTGGAGTCATTGTTGCATGAAGAGACAGTCAAACCATCTCAACCCTGACTCATAGTTTGTACAGTTTACCATTTCTGTCACACTAGAGTAGTTTATAACAGAAGATGCTATTATCTGATGTGCTATACTCTCATTTGCAGTTTCTTAAAGGTGCACAGTGTAACTTTTCTGAAGAGGGTCCGCAACCTGTTGGTTTCAATGGAGGTGTTAATGTTTGGTTTAAATTATCCAAAATATGGTATTAAACTAATCTGTCTTGCATTTATCTAACTACAGGCGTTATTTATTGCTCAAAAATATCTTAAAAAACATACATTCTTATTGTGAGTGGGGTCGCATCTCCACAAATTTAACCTATAATTTGGCTTGCAAGTCCCTATGCAAGATTTTTAAGTTTATGGCCACACTGTGGAACATTCTAGGGACATCTCCATGGAGACAAGCAGGTGGCGAACCCCAAGCTAAAAAGTTACACCTTTAAATGCCTCTTAAAATTAACATGGACCATGAACCATAAGACGAGACCAGACAGTTAAAGCTGCACTATTATGGACAGTAAAAATAATGTAGCATAATTTTCAAGGCATTTTATAGCAACAAAACACTTATAATTACATGAGTGCAAAGTTTCCATCCACATTGAGGAACAGTCCAGACAAGGCAATCTCCATGGAGACAAGCAGGTAGTAGATCACGCACAAAAAAGTTACGTAGTGCACCTTTAACGAATAGAAAACTCAGGGTAGTGGTGATACCCAAATACCCATAATTATGTATTGTGACAATCTCTGAATAATCTTGATAGAAAAATGACGTCGTAACTTATCTAATTTATAAATATGTAACATGTTTGGTTAGTAATTTGTGTAGAAAAGGAGTGTGTTGCTGTCGTAAACGTGTCGTCAGTGCGTTACGGCGGATTTACCTGTAGTTCCGATTTCCATTCATGAGGTCTGTGCCCGGTTCACTCCCGGCTCACACTTGTCAAATATCTTGGACTCTGCCTCCGTTCAACCCGGTGTCTCCTTCGGCTTAACGCCCTCCCGCTCCCCGCTCTCCCTCTTCCTCTCCTCCGCGAACTGTCCCACGGGCCCCCTCGTCGGTACGGTGGTAACGGTGTAGCTTCACCGGTCGGGGCTGTTCCGCGTCCCCACTTTTACGCACGTATCCAGTGGGGGAGCAAGTGCCACGGCTGCGGCTACTGGCTGCTAGTTAGCCCCTTTAGCTCGCTAGCCCGGGATTAGAAAGTGCCAGGAGCAGAATGGACGTGCTGTCAGGATATCATCACAGCGGCTTCAGTTGCTTCATATGAATAAACAGCAAGAACCGATGCGTAAATTGGACGACATAAATTCGAGTCGACGGTAAAGGCAAGCGACAGTCGGGTTAGCGCAGTCGGTAATTAGCTTCTCCTGGCTCCGCTGGTGGATAGTTCTTCTTGACAGACGATGGGAGTTTAGTGACGTTAAAAACAACCCGTGACACGATCTGGTTTATCTAGCAGCATCTCCAGAACAAAATCTTTGTCTGTAGGCGTTGTTCTAGTAGAAAAATAAAGCTGTCAAGTCCAGGGAGAATGCGCCGACAAGAGTTCGAATTTTCGGTCTGGATGACAGATCAACTCTGCGGAGCTAAATATGGTGAAGTTGCCTTGCTGACACCGACAGGAAGAGGTGGACCCGAGCCTGCACGTCAGAAGTTCACTCCGCCTTCATCTAAGAGCACATTATATATCTACGAAGCATCCCACCTTTATTACACCACTATGAATACATTTACGCGCACTTTTAATCCATTATTGCATTACGCTTTTCAGAACAAGGTACCCATAGCATGGTTAAAGGTCCTATATTACACAAAATTTACTCTTGTGAGCTTTAAGACATGTTATAATATAGTTACCTCATTATAAACACACTTGGAGTTGTGTTTTGTTTCATTCACACATTTTTAAGTAACCCTTTATTAAGTCTGTGTACATCTCCAAAGCTCAAATGCTCTATTCCACCTTGTGATGTCATGTACTGGTAGTTCTCAAGTTAATAGCTACCTTTTAGTTTTTATTTCAGTAGAGGTTGGCAATTCCAAGGCTGAACTCATCCCAAAGATTCCAGTGAAGGTGTATGGAGTTTAAAAACACGGTGGAGCACTTTCTGTGTTACCACATGACATCACAAGGTGGAACAGATGCAAGGTTGTGTTAAACATGTGTAAAAGAAACAAAACTCAAGGTATGTTTGTGATGAGGAAATTATAACATACATCAGAAAATAGCATAATATGGGCTCTTCAAAATTTAGCAACTGAAATCACAACACAGATTTAATAAAAAACAATTTTATTTTCTTTAAAAAATAACCCTCCCCAACATACAGAGCCAAAATAGTATGCTTCCATGTCCTTTCATTCAAATGTATTGGGAAGTGCTTTGACAAGGACTGTTCTTGATCAGTGGCTTCGATATTGCTTAGTCAGACAGTGAGGCTGCGTGGAGAGAAGAGCCCTCTCCGCTGTCCACATGATGCATTGGAAGGGGGGACAGTCACTGGTCGCCCCCGGTTACAAGGTGGGGGGGACTGTCAATGGTCACCCCCAGTTACAAGGTGCTTTGTGGCTTCAGTGAGTGAAGGACTGCATCTGGATTCAGTGGTGCTGGATAATGCCCCCAGACTCATTTTTTTAAGTACAGAAAGGGGGTAGGAACACTGGCCCCCGACTGTGACAGGCCCAGCTTTGGGTGAGCCGGAATACATAACAGGTTAATATTATATATGCATTTATATATACAAATCACCTTGGACACAATGAAGAATCAGTAAAATGGTGTACAAAGGCATTTTGATTACGCAAGTTCATAAAGATGATTTAAAAATCACACTTATCTGATCTCTTTTGATCCCTTTCATCTCAAAGGGCTTTACCCATCAGACAAGGTTTGAGGCGCTTTAAGGGCATCTGAGGTGGAACTTTGAGACAGTCTCTACAGTGCCCTCTTGAGGATACACTTTGACACTAGTCACAATACTCATATAATAACAAAAAAAAGAAAATAAGCAGTCATTATAACCATTACACAATCGAGGCAAAACAACTGACAGGCAGTGGTGAGCACACAGCTCCTACCTCTAAGAAACCAGAATAAGGTGGCTCAGAATATCCAGTCATAAAAATATTACATGCATTTTTTTCATTAACTCCCAAAAGTGACTAGATGTAAAGGCAGGGCATGTTCCGTAGCTTTAACTGCCCACTCTTTGTAGATGCAGCAGTCCCCTGCCTGTGCCGCCCATGCACACAGAGCACCAATAGGGAGTGGCGGGCACAGGCTGGGGGTCGGGCCAGGAGCGCTGCAGGTGTGGTTCTTCAAAGTCACAACACATCAGGTGATGGGGTGAAATGAAGTGTGGGTCGTAGTGACTATTTTTAGTAATAAGGATAAAAGGACAAGTGCATTAAGAAGTCTGCATACAATGGAAGAGACTCAAGGCAGAGAGATCTGTGCTTCTGCCAACAAGGCTGAGTGACACGTTTTAGTGAGGGGAAGAATCTTTGACTAATGTTGTTACAGTGGAGCGGGTATGTGCACGTGAGAGCTGGAGCGTGTGGGTGGATGTTTAGGGTGCATGCCGAAGCGTAAGCTCTGCTAATACAGGCTGGAATGTGCACAATGATCAGAGCAAGGTCAATGGCTGAATCTTAAGTTCAGCTTTACAGCACTTGTGTGGTCACAGACTTTTGTAGTTGCCTGCATTCAAATCTACTGAGGTGTGTTGACCTTATCTATTGCCTTAGTTGCCTTTTTGTTATGAGAGCAAGTGTAAGTGTGAGAAACGCTATATAATCTATGTCATACTCAGGAAGAAAACTCATCATTTTGCAGCAATTAAACAAAAAGTAAATAAAAGTGCCTCAAAAATCCTAAAAGCAGAAATAAAGATTATCTTCCTGTCTAAGTGCCCGTTTCCATTGGTTGGGATCACTTTTGGCTGGTTAATGCTGGTTTAGGTGCATGGGGTGCAAGTACAATATATTTGACACACTCTAAACAAATGGTCCCTCTACTGTTACTCTATGATGCCTAAGGCTAGTTCTCTAAGGGACGTGCCATCCAGCACAGAGAGTGAAAGAAAATCTCTTCTGTGTCTATGATATGCTATGCCTGCTCCTTGAGTCCCAGGCCAGGAGACTTCAGTGTACAGTACATACTGACAAACTTGTATGTGCAGGACTTGTGGCACCTACATGCTATCACTAAGTGCTAATGTACCATATACTCCAATTCTCCATAATGCAGTAAAAATACTTAAAAACATAATCCCAAAGCATGACATGATCGTAAGTGAATGACACATGTAAGTATGCGCCTAGTGCCACACGTAGGATGCCCACAGGTAAGGACACAAAACACTGGCATCTGGCATTCGGATAGGTTTGGAGGCAGCATCGTGGTGGCAGTAAAAAAAGATATTTTCAGATATTATCTTTTTCTTGCCCATTTCTCCCCTATCCGTAATGCATACTTACATAGATAGGAGTGTGAAGGTAGCTTACAATACTAGGGGTGGCACGGTTCACAAAATTCACGGTTCGGTTTGTATTGGTTTCAAGTCGCGGTTTTTGGTTCTGTATGGTTCTTGTTGTAATTTTTTTCTTTTTAATCTTTAATCTATGGTGTAATGTACTCCTGGGGCAGATCTGTGTCGTCTGAAAGAGCACAGGTCCAGAAAGACTGTTAATTAGTGCTTTAAAATTTACTTTTGAAATCCTCGCATTTGCCTGTTCAGCTGTTAGTTTCACTGTGGGCCTGATACAAGTGGCTAAACGCACCCAGTCAAGTTTGATCGTCTTTCCCATTGACAAACAGAGCCAGTGCTGCGCGTGTATGTTCTGCTGCAGCTGCTGGTGGAGCCGCCTTTGCGTTGACGCGTGGCTGTGGTTTCGCGAGGTTATGCGTGTAAACGCTGATGCGTGCTGTGGAGCCAGGCCCTAAATGACACGGGCGCATCCTCCATCTCCTGGCGGCCGTCTTGTCTTTCTACTTCTCTCCTGCTTGCCATTTCTACACGTAACACGCAGCATTCACCCTCCACACCTCTTCTTTTGTGTCAAAGCGAAACAGGTCACATACGGGCACGAGGCTACCATGTGCAAGCCGGGAACCGTGGAAACCGTGCGGTGCGCACACGTCCTGAACTGTGACCGAATGGTTCGGCTTTTTTCCTGAACCGTGCTACCCCTATACAATACATTTACATATTAATACCCAGGTTTTAAAAAGTCAACATAAAAAGAACAATAGTCCTGGTAAAAGGTAAAAAAAAAAAAAAATCAACAAAAAACATTAAAATGATTCAAACCGTTTGAGTGCATGAGGCTGTAGAGTGCCTGCGTGGCACAGGTGAGGGCATGTTTGTGGTTCTGATGACTCTATGCTCTGTAAAGGGTGTGTAGTGGGAGTCACTGGGGAGAAGGGATGGGGATGAGGTGGCAGTGGGCTAGCTGCAGCCCACAGTAAGTATGAGGTGGGAGGGGTCATGGAGCTCAGGCGAAGTACATGGTCCTCAGTGTGTCATGGTGGATCTGCACGGCTTTGGCCAGAGCCTGAGGGTCCCGGCCATTACTCTGACCGGACACATGGCTGCCCTCTCCACTGTCAGAAAACACAAAACTACATCAGTACTCAGATATTACTGTTTTGTGATTTATGTTATAATGTTGTTTCCTCATCACAAACATACCTAGAGTTGTGTTTTGTTTCATTCATACATGTTTATCACACAAATCCTGCATATTTAGGCTGAGTTCTTCAATCAGACTGAAATCACTCTGTTCCACCTTGTGATGTCATGAGGTAATACAGGAAGTGCTACGCTGTGTTTTTTTTAACTGCATACACTGCATCACCAAAATCATTTGGATAATTTAGCCCTGAAATTTCCAATGTCTACTAAACAAAAGGTAAAAGGAGCTGTTAACTTAGAAACTATAACTTCATGACATCACAAGGTAGAACAGAGCATTTTGAGCTTTGGAGATATAGACAGACTAATAATAAAGGGTTGCTCAAACACGTGTGAGTGAACCAAAACACAACTTCAGGTATGTTTTGGATGATTAAAGCTCAAAAGAGTACATTTTGCTTAACATAGGACCTTTAAGAGAAGAGGTAGCGCGTCACTGGGTTATAAAAAATCTTTAAAAATTAGAGTACAAGATCTCTGTGAGGGTTGAGTAGAAATCTCAGTAGAATGTGGCCCTCAGCATGTAATAAGAGACTTTTAATATTTTCAGTTGTTGTACCTCAGGTCACATTTTTATATAGCACTTTACCACATTCAGGGCACTCAAAGTACTTTACATCACTCACTTATTCACACACACATTCATACACCAGTGTATGCAGACACTGTGGGCGAGGTAGGTTAAGTGTCTTGCCCAAGGACAGTATTCATCTGTGGGAGCTGGAATCCTGACCTGTAGGCCAATCAATCTGACCGCTCAATCAACTTTGTACCTTGTCTCTTTTTATATTATCAAGTAAGGGCCAAATTCTGCTGAGAGTGTTTCAGTACTGATATGTCCTAAATAAACTTTGCCTCCACCTGCATCAGACTCACCTGTCATGTTCTTTGTCCACCAGATGGTAGCGGGCACGGAAGGCTACAAGTCGCGCATAGTAGGCTGGAGCAGGAATGGAGACAGAGCGGGTACAACGCACATACGTGTGGCACAACTGGTAGGTTAAGATCTGCAACTCATCCGCAGTGAAGCGATTGTCGTCCCAAAGCACGTAGTAGTGGGACGGTCTGCTGGTACCCTGAGAAGAGTTTAAATTAAGTGAGCAGACATTAATGATTGTTACCCTGATACACAAAAACCCAAATAGTTCAAACATTAAAAAAAAAAAAAAAAACTTCAGTCACATTTCAGTTACAAGCTTACATTTAGTATGTATAGTGTGTAATTTATATGTAAATATTTGTAAAGTTTTATGATCAATGTAAATAAGCAACCACATAATTTTCGACAAATGTGCTTTCTGTTGTTTACAATGTACATGTATATATGATTATTGTTTCTCTCTTGGCACAAATTCAAAATAAAAACCAATCAATCAATTGACAGTGTGGTGATAATGTACTTAAAAGGTGCATTGTGTAACTTTTCTGGTGGAGAGTCTGTCAAATGCTTTTCTCCATGATGTTATTTCTTTGTCTGGAATGTTTCACAGTATGGTATACCTTTCTATCATCATGGAGATCAAACTAGACCAAGTTACAGGTCAGATCTGTGGAGAGGCGACCCTGCTCACAGTCAGAATGCCTGTTTTTGTAGGTATTTTTGAGCTATAAAACCACCTATAATTTAATAAACATAAGGTAGACTTGTTTAATGCCACACTGTGGCACATTCCAGGCAGACCAATGACATCTCCATAGAAACAAGCAGGTGACAGACCCCTAACCAAAAAAATTACATAGTGCATCTTTAAACATAACTAAACGGCTAATGTCAACTTATACTGATTTTTTTACAGATTTTTTCTAAACCTGAGCTCATTTTGTGTCATTGTAGTTCCAGGAAACAGACTCATCCTGAGTCATGCTCAATCATCAAAACCCAAGAGTTTTGTAAAAAGAAGCACATTCTCCACTATTTGGGAGAGCAGTCTTATTTTTATAACCACAGCCAAATAAAAGTCTAATAATAAATAGTCATCTCTTAGTCATGTGTACATAAGAGAGAGTAAGCATGGAAACATATGGTTTAGTCTATAATAAACCTACAGATTTCTCACTTGTGAATACTAGGGCGTAAGAAAGTCCCACTGCTGTGGCCGATAACCAAGGAAGGCCCACAAATGAATCTAAAATTTTGTTAAAAATATAATGGCAAACTATCTTTTACAGCAATTTAAATTGTTCTGTTTCTTTGTGTAAACATTTAGCCATATAATGCTTTTCCATTTCTATTTTGACTATAGACTGTATAAAGAAGTGGACTAAGCAAGTTTAACATCACCCATACCGTTCAGCTCCAGTCAAATGAAGCTTGCGATGCTAGCTGTTGGAGCCAAGCTTTAGTATATATGAAAGTTTTCTTTTAATGAACAACATAGCAAAAAAGAACCCAACCAGGATTATGTAGAGCAGGTTAATACGAATATTTTAAGACCAAAATGACGAGTCTCGCAGCAGTGAATGGGAGCCAGAGTCAGAAGGAGCTGGAACTGTCTGCATGCGAATTTCGTATTTGGAATGCACCGGCTAGTCTGTTAGCCATGTCCATTTATATATACAGTCAATGATTTTAATGCAATCGTCTCAATATCGATAGACTCGATATCAGCTGTTACCGATACAGAATAATTTGTATCGATATCAGCTGACAGAGATACTTGCAGAGAAATCGCCCATCCCTAGCAAATACATCATCAAAATAGACACAAAACAGGGATTAAATCTGAACTAGACCAGGAACAAACAAAGGACTAAACAAGTGACAAGTGTGAATATACCCAAAAATATTGGCCCATATATTTTACCATTACTTATTTGAGGGGAAAGTTCCAATTTCAAGCCTGTCTGGACATGTGTAGTGTTTGAGTCACCTGTATGCCTGCATGGCTGCACAGGTAGAAGTCAAACTCAAAGGGGTGAGTGATGCTGGTGTCCACTGTGGTCCCTGCAGGAATGTTACCACTCTTTCCAATCTAAAAACAGAAAAGAAATCATGATGGAAACACTTCATTTATAGACTTTATTAAAATAATCTAAATGGCAATAATATTTAATACAGATGAGCAGCTGCTAAAAAGACCATATTAAACATACATGAGTTGTGCTGTTTCATTCACAGATTTTTAACCCACAATTATATTTAGTTTAGTTTAGTTTAGTTTACTTCTTTCAAACAGAAAACAGTCTGTTCCACCCTATGATGTCATGTGATACTACAGGAAGTGCTCCACTCTGTTTTTAAACTCCATACACCTTTATTACAATCTGGATAATTTCAGCCTTGGAATTGCCCATCTCCACTTAACTAAAGGTAAAAGGTAGCGGTTAACTTAAAAACTACCACTAGATGACATCACAAGGTGAAACAGAGCATTTTGAGGTTTGGAAATGTAGACAGAGTAATAATAGAGGGTTACTCAAACATGTATAAATGAAACAAAACTCAACTCCAGGTATGTTTTGATGAGGTAACGATATTATAACATGACTAAAAGCTCATAAGAGTCATTTTTTTTGCATAATAAAGTACCTTTAATACAGATGAGGGGGACGCTAAAAATAATATAGTTAAAATGCAGACTCTTGTTGTAATTGAGTCAGTCTGTGGATCTAGTAAATAATAAAAATGATCAGGATCACCATTTGTGAATTCATCTTTTGAATGTTGCATGACAAAGTACTATGCCATCAATTAATTCAAAAAAAATTAATAATAAAAGTAATATGCTATCAATCAAAACCCCCATCTGGTATTGTGACATCATTGCATTCATAGTTTGATGTCTTACCCTTTCAGACTTGTCAGCACAGAAGAGGCGCGTGTGGTGGCGTTTTTGCACTACAATATAGGTAATGCCCGGCTGGTAATCCTTCTCCAGTTTGATACATGCGTCCCTGATGGCCAGGAGCTCATAGTGCAGAATCTGAGGAACATTATTGAAGAGAAAGTTGTGGGAGCATTATTAACGTCTTTGTACTGTCTTTGTACAATAGATAGGTGTAGACAGAAGTGTTGTCATGATACTAAAATTCCAAACTACTTTTATACTAAGGAATAGACTCGATAGTCAATACCAATAGTCTTTTTACAACCCTTATACATATATACCCTTATACCTGTGGCAGCTGTCCCTCGGGCACTCCATCCCTGTAGAAGATGATCCTGGTGGGCTTGAAGCGCGTGGATTTGTAAAACTGGATTAACAGTTCTCGCACCATGTAAGACAAATCCTCAATGATCTCCTGTCTGGGCCTTTGCACCCGCACAGTGGCACAATATCTGCTGGGGTGGGCGTCCATACTGCCTACCACCTGTAAATACACAACAGAGAGCTCAGTGAATAATATAATAACTATGACTGTACTAATCTCCAAAACAATGACAGGCTAGGGATGCACCCATCTAATAATGGAATCATATTTTGGCACTGATGATGAAAAAAATGGCTGTCTTAGATATCAGCTTCCAAATATTGACTCCTCCTGGTTGGTCTTATAAATTGATGTAATAAGAGTGTTTATTGGGCATGGTCGGAATTGGTATCGGAACTGAATAAGCTGGATCAGTGCATCCCTATAATAGGCATAAAGAAACATATAGCTTCTAAAACTACAAAGATCAAAAATAAAATACATAAAAAAATGTAATTTAGATAGGTACAGGCTCAGTGTCATGGCAGGCTGTTGATTTGCCTGTTTGACCAGGTCGGTATGTCTTGCTTAATTGGGTAATATTTATGTAATGAGGAAAACTCAAATGTGTGCTCAGACTGCTCTTTGTTTTGTGTGTTGTGTTAAAATGTTGAAAATGTAATCAAATATGTAATAAAAAATAATAAAATAAAATAGTAAATAAAATATTATATACAAATGAAATAAATAAATAATTAATAAATATGTAACAACACATTTTTCGTCACAGAACAGTTCATACTTTCTCTGTAGGACTCTGGCATCTCTTGTTGTCGCTAAGCAACAGCACAACCAACCAGAGCCCAGCTGAGTCCAAGGGCAGGAGAGAGGCTTACGTCATTTCCTCTGAGAACGTCAATATGAACCGTCTCTCTGTCTCCATTGTCCCTCACAAAGTCTGAGCCATTGTTTTATATGTGTTTTTCTGATGAGTTTGTAAAACTACACAGTGAGAGCCATTGATGTCACAATAAAGTCTTAAATATGCAAATAAAAGTGGGAAAAAGTACAACATTTCGTAATATTAAACGCTTGAATTTTTGTTTTATGTTATGCCTTAAAGGTTTACTGTGTAACTTCCATGGGGAGGGTCCACCACCTGCTTGTCTCTGTGATGACATTATTGCTTTGTCTTGAATATTCCGCAGTACACAAGTAAACATATCAGTTTTCTATTAAAGTTGTTTTTATTGCTCAGGAATACCTTGAAATCCATTCCTCCATTCATCCATTACCTCTCCATAGATTTGGCCTGTAACTTTGCTTGGTGGCGTCACATGCTTGTTATTATGGAAATGGCCAAATCTAATACCATACTCTGGCACAGTTCAGACAAAGCCATAACAATAATCTCTAGAGACAAGGAAACAAGGAAACAAGGAAAATGTACAGGAATATGGGCCCTTCAAAAAAATATTGATTATCTACAAACCAATAATACTTGAAATGCTATAATAACCCATGTCTCAGTCTCATAACCTATATTTATTTTAAATATAATTTGCATTTTTTTCCATGCAAAATCGATTTCTGGCTGCTTCTGTATGTAATGTTATGGAGAACTGATTTGAATAGGCAAATGTCTTGTCTTGGCCAACAGCATAATTTTTCAGTAGTATTGGCTCTGTGCACAGCAGTGTGCTTGCGAGCTCACTGTGTCTTTAAGCGAACAGTCACTTTTATTAAAATCGTGAAACAGAAAATATTAAACAACCTATTAAAATTCAAATTAATTAAAGTCAAGCTTACCCAATAATTTTTAAATGTAGATAACTTCAGTTTGTGATGTTGTTCTAATCATTATTATGCTAGGGGGGACAGAATTTCAAAATAAAAAACTGGTACATCCAATTTTTTGGTGGGTGGCAATAATAAAATTGTGAAACGAGTGCGTAAATAAGGAAAACTGTTATGCAGAGACCATTCATGACTAACATTTTTAAGCAGCTTTTCTGTATTTTACCTAAACAACCAACAATTTATGCCTCTCTTTACTGTTGGTGGGTAGAAAAATGGGTCAAAAATAGGGACACCTGGAGAGACATTTCTTGTATAAAACTGGGACAAATCAGTGGTGTTAGATAAATCTGCTGGGACAGGGGACACAGGGCTCAAAACTGGGGCTGTCCCAGGTAAATAAGGACATCTGGTCACCTTATAATTATGTCTCAAAATTAGCATTAGCATTAGTATTTAGACACAAACCCCTTTCTAAAAGCAGAAGTGTCCTCCGCTGAAGTATTCATTTTATTTGTGTAATTTTTAACATGTTGTCAGTAACATCAACCCACAACTGTGTCCAAGGCCTTATTTTTAAAGGTGCATTGTGTAACTTTTATGGTGGAGGGTTTATCAAATGCTTTTCTCCATGGAGATGTAATTGTTTTGTCTGGAATGTTTCATAGTATGGTATTAAACCTTTCTATCTCCATGGAGACCAAACCAGACCAAGATACAGATCAGATTTGTGGAAAAGCCTGCTCACAGTCAGAATGCCTGTTTTTCTAGGTATTTTTAAGCTATAAACCCACCTGTAATTTAATATATGTAAGGTAATATAATATATGTATCTGTTTAATGTCATACTGGGGAAATTTCCAGGCGCAGCAATGACATCTCCATAGAAACAAGAAGGCGATGAACCCCCAAACAAAAAGTTACACAGTGCACTTTTTAATATGTATTCAATGGAGCACGACTCAGCAAAAAACACAGATACACAACTGGACAGGAAGTAGTGACGCTAAAAGGATGGTTGCCAAGTGATGTTGTGCGCAGAGCCTATTGGAGAATACCGGCTTTATATAGCAGTCTGTTCTTTCTTTTGTCCCCCTGGAGTGAAGGGTCAACAGGTGTTTGATTTGGGCCTTATTGAGACACTTACAGCAGTAATGGAGGGCTTCTTCCCATCTCCAGCAGGGGGATGCGTGACGTCTGCTCCCAGGAAGATAACAGGCTGCTGGAACACGGCAGACCTGACGAAACAAGGCAAAAGGAGAATTAAGACTCGCTAATTAAAAATAAATAACACAGGGCTGGTTTTAATTTGTTGTTGGAGTCTATGTTTAATTAATTTGTGTTTATAGAAGTAGTGTTATGAGAAATGGAAAAGCATTAAAGGTCCTATGTTAAGCATAATTGATGCTATTAGGCTTGTTAGAATGTTGTTACCTCATCAAAAACGTACCTGGAGTTGTGTTTCATTTCATTCACACATGTTCAAGTGATCTTGGTTTATTAGTCTGTCTATCTCCAAACCTCAAAGTGCTCTGTTCCATCTTGTGATGTGATGAAGCAGTAGTTTTCAAGTTAACAGCGACCTTTTACCTTTAGTTTAGCTGAGATTGGCAGTTCCAGGGCTTAAAGGTGTATGGAGTTAAAAAACACAGTACAACACTTCCTATATTGCCACATGACATCATAAGGTGGAACAGAGTGTTTCCATCTTGGGAGAAAAACTGTAAATATGCAGGGTTTGTGTGTTTGAAAACTTGATTTTGCATAACAGGTCTGTGTTAACAACAGGTACTAACTCACCAAGTAAAATTTGAAAAACATGAAGAATGCAAAAGAAAGCACATTATGTTTAATTAGAAGATGGGGGTGGGATTAAATATGTTTTTCTTCTTCCCACTCCTTTTTGGGCATTTTTTTTTTTATGTTGTTCTTGTTTCTGTTGATACGTTTGCACTGTCAGTATGGATGATACTACGTTCCATTGCAAAAGACAGTAAAATGTTTACTTGCCCTATAAATAAATACAATAAAACAAATAAAACACATTTAAAAGCCAGAAAAGTCAGATTAAATATTTGTAAAGAAGATAAAAACTTGAGAATACCGCTGATGAGGGACCAGGATGTTGTTGATGCCTCCCAGCTTGACGTTGATCTTGAGGCAGAGGTTGGAGAGGGTCTGAGGAGATGTCTTCACCACATTCTTCACCTGAACGCACTGTGTGGCCATGCCCAGCAGAGTGTCCCCAACTCGCTTCACTTCAGCTAAAATACAAGATTATACTTTAGTTTAACTTTACTAAATCTCAAAGATAGGGGGAAATGTATTGCAATTTTGTTAATTAAAAGGTCCTATATTTCGCAAAATGTACTCTTGTGAGCTTTAAGCCATGTTATAATGGTGTTATCTCCCCAAAAACAAACCTAGAGTTGTGTTTTGTCTCTTTCACATATATTTGAGTAATCCTGCATTGCTAGTCTGTCTACATCTCCAAAGCTCAAAATGTCCTGTTCCACCTTGTGAAGTGTTCAGTAGAGATTGGCAGGCAACTCCAGGGCTGATGTTATCCAAATGATCATCACAAGGTGGGACAGAGTGTTTTCTGTTATAAAGAAGAACTCTAAAGCCTAAATATGCAGGGTTTGTGTGTTAAAAAAGAGTGGATGAAGCAAAACACAATTCCAGGTATGTTTGTGTTGAAAAAACAACATAAAAACATACTGTAGATCAGAAAATAGCATAATATCTGCTCTTTAAAGGTGCATATAACTTTTCTACTGAAAGCCCACTACCTGTTTCCATGGAGATTGCTTTTCTAGAAACATTCAACAATAAACCTTTCTTCATTGAGACAAAAAGGGAACACCACTAAGTTACAAGTTACAGGTCAGATCTCTGGAGAGGCAGGCATGCTCACAGTATGAATACGGATTAAGGTATTTGAGCAATAAAAACATTGGGAATTTAATTAATGCAAGATAGATAAGTTGAATGCCACACTAATAAACCTTTGAGGCAAAACAACAAAACATCTCTATGAAAGCAACAAGTGATAAACCCTCCATCAGAAAAGTTACAGTTACACAGTGTGCCTTTAATAGCAGGATAATTCAATTTTTTAATTCATAATAAAGGCCTCTAAAATCAAAGCTATTTAATTGTGCAAACAGAGTATACCATAGACAGGAGTTTTTCCGGGGAGGATGACAATGATGAGTTGCAGTCCAGAGTATGTGTTTTTGAGGTGTCTGAACATGGGCTCCACGCTGTCTGCTCCCTGGGCATATTTACAGAAACAAGGCTGGCCCTGGATTGGCATCCCAGCATCCTTTGAGATCTTACGCAGCTGGTCTGTGAAGTTCCTGTAAAGCACACAAAAATAATTGGTATATTTTATTATAATGTCATAGTTATGTTTTAATATAATGTTAAAGATGCTCTATTTATGTTATTTTAGTTTATATTTTGTCTTGTAATGTTCCACAACACGACATCAACCTTTATAAACTGCCATGGAGACAAGCAGGTGATGCCACCAAGCCAAGTTGGAAGTCAGACCTCACAGTAAGAATGTTTTCCAGGGAAATATTTATGAGCAGTAAAAACATCTGAAATTAAATAAATCCCATGCACTTTTAATGCCATACCGTGAAACATTCCATGCAAAGTAACAAAAACTCCATGGAGTCACAGGTCCAACACAGTTAGATAGTGTACCTTTAAAGCAAGGGTCTCCACAAAATAAAAATTGCTGAGAGCTACTATCGTTAGTGGTTGTAAAAAATAAAGTTAATATAAGAGCAACAGCAAACTTTAGATGGGGTACAGTTAGATGCCTATAAAACATAATATAACATGTTGCATTTATTTCTGCACATACTTATCTGAAGTATACAGTTACAGTGGTAAATAGGGATGTCTTGAATAAAATATTAATGTTCCTAAATGATTTGAAAGAGGATGGAGAGCTACTTTTAATAGTAGTAGCAGTTACAGGTTGGAGACCCCTACTTTGAAGAGATCACATGTTATTAATGTAACTCTGAGACCAAACCAAGTCTATACAGTTAATTACACTTTGAATACAGTCACGCCAACTAGTGATAAAGTAGCCAGTTTAAGATAAGCACTGTTCTATAAAAAGTCTATCCCCTCTGGACTATTCCCACTGTTTAGTACTTACTTAAGGACTTCCTCTCTGCACTGTTTCTGTGGGGCAAAGCATGCGATGGCCCACACTTTGATCTCAATGCCGTTATAAAACTGCTTCCCCCTCATGTCCCAGACTCCCTGGTTGGGGGTAGCAATAGCACGATTCTGCAGACACAAAATTCAATCATTAGCATATTTTCACATTTGAATGACTATTCAAAGAGAAACCGGCCTTACCCGTCCTCCATACTGTAAGATAGGAGCTGGGAGCACCCTGCCTGTCACCTCGGCCATGTCATCCTTCACTTTGATCCCAAACTCCTGGATGTATGGGTCCAGGTTGAAGTTTGCATTCTTCATCTAAAAAACACAAAGACAATATATTATCAGATGTTAAATATCCGGTTTCCTGGTGCTAAATGAGCATTACGTCATAGGATTTTCCATTCCCAAGACATTTTAGACATTGTGTAAACATTGCTCTTCAATAGTTTGCATAGATGTGAAGTTATAACATTCTATTCTGAGAACTTAAGCTTGTCAAGATAAAAAAAAAAAAGGAAGCATGATATAAAGAACTATCTTGATAAAAGATAATGTTGACTTTACGCTATTGACGCATAAATATGCACTATCATGACACGCCTATAGGACCCCATAGCAGACATAGTGGGTCATAGTTTGGCCAGGCTAATGCTTAGTACCTCTGTGCCAATACTGTTTGATGTGGCAGAACTCAATAGTCACAAAGATCCACAAGTTCTCTCAGTACAGATCAACTTTGGTAAAATAACTGTATTCACTTTTGCATGGTAAATAATATGTAGGATAGATTGCGGTCAGTTGACAAAGGATTAGGCAATGAGGTAGGTAGCAGTTACCTTAAGGTTGTTTCCAGACTTTATACTTATACTCTCACTTGCATCATATTGTTCACAGTCTAACAATATTCTTAGTCGAGTACAATTCTTGGTTAGTCTTCCCTCTGTGAGAAAGTCTTGTCCTTCAAATTCTATTAACTTCAAATTCGATCAGATATTACTTTTAGTTTTAGCTTCCTAAAATATTTTTTCTGTTACTGGAGTAATGTTTTGCACCACTACTGTGTGTTTCTATTTTGTAATAAAAATATTTAAAGTAATTCTACCCTAAGTGGAGAACTTCATTTTCCTGGCTACTTTACCCCTATCATAAGTGTTTTGTACATCCAATACCTCATGAAAACATAATTTCCAAAATACTGGGTCTGTTTTTTCTGATTGGATCATTTCATTGTAATATTGTCCGCTTTGTTTGAGCTGAAATTTTGAAATAATTAAATCCTTATAAAAATTCTCAAATAAATCAACTCACCAGGCGGCTGATCTCCTCTTGTCTGTCTGGAGCAGAGCGGGCAGTGGCTTTGATCATAGTGGAGGTCTGATTATCCGTCAGTTTCTTGATACACCTCTGGCCTGCTACAATATTACACACCTAGTACGAAAGAACAAGAAACATGTACTCCATGGTTACACTGTTAATACTCTTTCAAAGGTGCACTAAGTAACTTTTCGGTTAAGGGTCAGTCATCTTTTTGTTTCTATAGCTACATCATTCCTCTGGCTGGAATGTTCCACAATATGATGTTAATCAGTTTTACCTTTTATTCAACTAAAGGTGGTTTTATAGTGGTTTTACAGTGGGGTTGCCTCTCCATAGATTTGACCTGTAACTTGGTCTGGTTTGGTCTCTATGAAGATAGAAAGGTTTAATGCCATACTGTGAAACATTCCAGATGAAGGAATAACATCTCCATGTAGTAAAGCCTTTGATGGACCCTCCACCAGAAAAGTTATATTCTAATTTTAAAGTGGAAAAGTACCTCTAAAGGCAGGTAGGTGTGCTTCTGCTCCTGCCCCACCTGGAGACAGGGCAGGTGGGGGTATTTTAGCTGCAAATTGTACTTCTGCTTGAAGTACTGGGCCACTGTACATTCTACGGTCTGCCCGCTTTCGAGCTGGAGGGGAAACCTTGAACGTAAAATGAAATAATATTAATAATAAATACATTACATACATACATTTTTCCCTTTTTAAAATAAACTATAAACCTTAAGCACAAATTGATTTAGTTAAATAATGGATCAGCTATATTATGATTATGGCGGTAGTTCCTTCTTGACTAAAGATGTGTCCTGCTGATGAAATAGTCAACTAAAAAGGAGAAAGTGGCAAAAACTCTCAAAAGCATTATGCATCTATTTTTATCTGACCGAAACTGCACTCACAAGACTATACCTGCATCGGTATTCACACAAAAACAACTTTATATGCAGGAAAAAGGACAAGGAAACTATGTATTTATATAAATACAGATTAAACATGTAAATAATGCTTTTTTACATATAAATACCAAATTATCAGCTAACTCGCTCACTAATGTTAACCTTTCTGCTGTTCTCTCATATAAATACTTATTATCTACACACAATTATTAGTTGAGTTATACAAACTTTGGTCAGCTAAGATGCCATCAATCGAAGCAATGAAAAGCTTATAATGGTGATCAAATGGGTTTACTATATCCTTTAAAAATATTCAGTACTGTATCGACAAAATAGATGATATGGCTTTTAGAATAAATTACACAGTTTACCCATAACATTTAAAGAATCAGTGTTTCTCACAAGTTTATACTGAGACTATGGTGGCACAAGCAGTCCATATTTCATTCATTTTATTCAGTACAATATGGAGAACAATGTGACTTTTTGGCTTTGCTGATAAAAAAAAAAAAAAGACTCACTGCAGATAAAGTATAGTTACTTCTATATGTTTAAGACAGTACTAGGGGGATATAAGCACCTGGGTTGGCAACCAATTTGTATACTGTGGTCCAAAGCAAGAAAAATGATCTGACGAAGGCTTTTTCCCAAAACATCATTTACAAATAAAAAAAAGCATTTGGACATCGGCCATCTGAGTGTGCTATGCATTTTTCACTTTTAAGTTTCTGCTCCTTGCATTTGCACTTCTACAAGAACTTTGGTGAGCATTTTCTGTTTCATTTAAGACAATATTACAGGCATAAAGTATAAGTAGTTGTACCAGTTTTTCATACCAATTATTATTAGAATTAGGGGGCAAAAATTAAGACTGTGTGGGACCACCATCGTGTTATTGATACTTTGCTGTGACAACACGCTGGGGGTGTATCTCCCAAGTAAGTCTATTGGCGAAATGCTCATTAGTAGCCACGGCAACACAATGCACATATTAGCAAACACGGTCAAAAAATGGTCTGAAAATGTATGTAAAAAAATACTAAATGGATTTAAACAACACATTTTGATTGATTTTCAACTAAAAAGGTGAGAGTGACTAACTGAAAAACTCTTGGCTGTAATTTTATGTCTGAAAGACTCTTAGTTTTAACCAAGTCAGCTCATTCTGGTCAAAATGTCTTCTGTTTAAAGTCTAATTTGAGTAACAAATCTTCAGACAGAGCAGTACCCACAGTTAACTTCACACCTCCAGGAAATGTTGATGGCATCAGTTGCAAAGTATCAATTGGGAAACACCGGAGAAGGTTTGACTGTATTTGAAAACCTAATTTAACTATAGGTCTACAGCATAGTATACGTACGTCTGGTGGCTGGCAGGACGTCGTGTAACATTGCATACTCTGTACTTTCTCTTCATCTGCCCACAGTGCGTCACCTCCACTTTTAGACCTATTGTAAACAGACAACATAAACATTGTTAAAACTGTATACCAAATTTCTATACAGGCTTACACAGGTCACGATAACACATTTTGAAGCATCTTAAACTGCTACAGATATACATAATGATAAACGATAATATGGAAATGACTTTAAAGGTGCACTGAGTAACATTTCTAGCAGAGGTTCTGCCAACTGCTTGTCTCCAAGGAAATGGTATTGTTTGTCAAGAATGTTCCTCAGAATCTATCACCAGGGAGCTAAGAAGGTTACAGCACTTGACAATTCAGATCTGTGGAGAGCCGCCCCTATTCGCAGAAGGAATTAATCTGTTTTGGGGCAACAGAACCACCCATTTAGAGTAATACCAAGGCACATTCCAGGCAAAGCAATAACATCTGCATGGGGATGAGCAGCTGGCGGACCCTCCACCAGAAAAGTTGCGCAATGCATCTTTAGGCAACTAACCAAATAACAATACAGCAAAATAATTCCAGTAAACCATTTTTAAATAGACTGTATCACTTAAAGGAAAGAGCTGCAACAATAAAATAGCAGAATCAACTTTTACTTACTTAGTTACTTAATCAACTAAACTAAAATAATAAGATATCAAAAATATCCTCATTATTGCAAAGAAACTGTACACATGATAAATACTGAACCCAAAATATATAATGCTCTGTATATATAGTAATTATTGTGACAGACCTATTACTATAAAGAATTTAAAGTCATATGCTGTGATTCTGTTAGGAGGTATTCCCGTGTCCACTGGCTCACCTTTAATCTCCTTGGTGAAGCGCACTCGTTGTGAATCTGTTAGTGTTTTTGGCTGTTCGTCTATGTTGCGTATGTCCAAAACTTCGCACATGAATTCGATCACGGGCTGGGCTTTGTAGAAGGCCGTGGCGGACACTAGAGGGAGACAGACAGCAAAAAAGCCCTTAGTAACAGAGGAAGAATATACCAGCAGGCAGCAAAAAACTGTTTTTTTTTCTTAACATGCAATGTCATCAGAATGCTCGAAATTCATAAATGGAGGCTATTGGAGGCAAAAATTCAATGATAAGCTGATATCAAATTCAGATTGGTTATGTTTTGGGGGATTTTTATTGCCAGGGAACCACAATAAATAGCTCTCTCCCTCTTTAAGAATCCTTGACAGAATTATATCTCTCTCTATTTTCTACAAAGGCTCCATTTTACGCATTTTTTTCTGATCTATTTATATTATAATGTTGTTTCCTCATCACCGACATAACTTAAGTTGTCTTTTGTTTTATTCGCACATGATAGGGCCTCTTATAAACCGAAAATACTCACTTCCACCTTGTGATGTCATGTGGCAATACAGGAAGTGCTCTACTATGTTTTTAAAATTCATACACCTTCTGCATAATCATCTGGATGATTTCAGCCCTAGGATTTCCCATTTCTACTAAACAAAAGGTAAAAGGTAGCTGTTAAACTTGAAAACTACTGCTTCGTGACATAATATTCGAACACATGTGAAAGAAACAAAACAATTACAAAAGCATCTGTCGAGTAAAACCTAAAAACAAGATTTTGCCTTCATGAAAAATGTCAAATGTGTATAATAATTGCCAATTAAATAATCATGTAATAATGTTTTCTAACCAGGGTCTCATCACTTATATGCATATGAGCAATCTTAACATTTGCAATATTCTGAAGCTAATCCCCAAATTTCTCCATTAAGGTCAAATCGCATTATGTTCCACTTCATGTATGCCTTCAAACCATAGACGATATTGTACTATTGAAAAACTGTCACTCCTCTCTCTGTAACTGCTGCAGTGAGCCTTGTTATTTTGGTCTAAAAATGTTTGTATTAACCCGCTCTACATGATCCTGATGTTTTTATTTCACTCTTTTGTCTGGAAATAATTCCTATTCCTAACATGGGCCTCGGCACCAAATTTGCCTCTATAACTGCAAGCCTTGGTGAGCTTCATTTGACTGGAGCCAAACGTTATAGGTAACGTCACACTCCTTTAGTCCACTTCTTTCTACAGTCTATGCTTCAAACTAGAAGACTTGCTAGTTTTACTTTTTTCTTTTTTTTTTCCTAAGGGGTGACAGATGATTTTGTGATCCAGTTTAAGAGTCTGACATCCGCTGATCTAACCCCGGTCACTACGGTAACTGTGCCAGGCTTTGACTCACCGTCGATATTGAGCATCATCTTCCACATGGCAGGACGAACAGACTGATGGAACCCAAACCAGACCTCCCGGCCCCCTCCCAGCGGGTGGTAGTATCCCTCGGGTGGGGAGAAGAATGAACGCCCAACTGGAGTGTACCTTTGAAAGAATTAGGAGAACAAATTGTCTTAGTGTCTTAAATTTGGTACTAGTTTTAATGGAAATACATTTTGTACAGTTGCCTTGAACTGATACTGGCAACCGTGGAAAATATCTTATAATGCTGAATATTTTTTTGTTTTTCATTTCTGTCTTTTCAACATTAGGGTAGTAATAAAAATTGTTTTAGCTGTTTTTACTTATAGTTAATTTTAAGTTTAATTATTCTTTAATTATACTTAATCAAAGACAACACAATGTTATGCACAAACATTTTGAGTAGGATATGATGAGTTTATTTTTTATTTTGTTTTTGTTTGTTTTTGGCATTTGTATTTGCTCCTGCCCCTAGAGTAATGTGCTGCATCGTGTGTTATTCAACTCAAAGCTAAATAAAAGTGGAGATAGAGACCGTAGATTTGTATTTGGACTATCCAGTTTAAATGATTTTCTGACCCTCAGGACATTAAACACCCTCCCTGTTTGGTGCTGAGACACAGTCACACAGGTATCATTTGACCACTTAAGTGAATCCACCACCTCAGGCAGGAAAACACAACCTCTCCAAATGATCCATTGACATGAAATGCAGGCTTTTTAGGTCAACTACAATAGAACATCACTGGGGCTTGAGTGTGTATTATTCCACACTTTTAACAAAACAATACCTCATAGAGGCCAGGTGGCGCATGGCGACGTCCAAGGCTTGAACGGAGTCGAGGGGGACTTGCAGCCTCCCGCTGACCAGTGTCTCCTGCAGCAGGCGCCATGACACCTTGGCCAGCCAACGGATAGACACCTTAAAGATACGGTCCTTCCCCTCGCCTGGGATGGTAACCTCAAAGTCCACCTGGGGGGAGAAAGAGACGGAGTTTAGATGACAAATAAAGGTGCACTGCATAACATTTCTAGTGGAGGGTCTGCCTCCTGCTTATATCCATGGAAATGTTATTGCTTTGCCTAAAATGTTACATAGTATAGATTAGACCTATTTATCACAAGGGAGACAGGCAGGTTACAGCACCACACTACATTACAATCCTGCATATTTACAAGTACATGTTTTTCTTTTGCATTATCTTGTCTTATAATATATAACTTTAATAAAAAATACAAATACAAATCTGTGGAGAGTCACCCCTATTCACAGAAAGAATCATTGTATTTTTGTTGTCACGAGTAGGGTATTATTTATTTTCATATTCTAGAATGTGGCAAGTCAAGGCAAGTTATTCATACACAAAGTAATTCAAAGTGCTTTACACAATCATCAACAACAATCATCATAAAATTAACATTAAAAGAGAAGAGGGCAGAATAAAATCCTTTCAGTCATATGCACAGCTCAACAGAACCATTTGAGCCTGGATTTAAATATTGTCAAAGTCGAGGCCTGTCTCACATCTCCATGACATGTCATACTCCCAGATGGGCCAAGAGACAGTCAACAACCGTATTACTTACACTGCACTTTCCATTGAAATATATTAAACTAAGTAAATGTTAATATTGAAGCTGGTCATTTCTATTAAGGACTATACCCTAAGATCTGAATTTTAACCACATTAATTGTACCTGCTAGTCTTAAAGTATTATAAAGTATTAAAAATTGTTGGCTGGTTATGTCATCTGAAACTCAGCAATTTCATGCCAACTCAGAAACAGGTACATTCAGGGTTCCCACTGTTTTTCACTGACAAAATTTAAAAGCTTTTCCATGACTTTTTCAAGACCTAGAGTGAATATTCCATGAATTTACAGCACCCTACATGTGTAGGATTTAGCATACTTTTATGGCTAAATATGAAATGTTAACCCTTTCCACTCACCTTATGGTTTGGTATTATAGTTTTTAACATTCAAAATACTGTCAGTGCATTTATTGTCGTCTCTTTAAACAAAAGGCGCAAATGTTCAGAAATAATCGTAATAGCCTAATGAGAACTTAACAGAACACTGTAGTTGCGTGAACGAAATACTAAAATTCCATGACTTTTCCAGGCCTGGAAAATGACATTTTTAATTTCCTTTACTTTTCCAGGATTTCCATGAGAAATCTTGGAAAAGTAATGTACGCAGAAAGTAATGTATTCCATGGGAACCCTGTACATTACTACAGCACTACAGTAATGTAGCAAATACAGCAGTAGTGTTACAAATAGAATCAAGTTGAGAAGACCACAGATAATATAAACAGTAAATGCTTTAGTTTATTAAAAGAAATGACTATTTATAGAGATGTGGTAAGAGCTGGGTGATATATCAAAATGTTACTAATATCTTGAATGTTGTTATAAACAAAATAAAAAACTAAATGTCAGCGTTTGGGCAGTCAGTTTGCATTTGTCCTAATACAACACCTGATACGTAAGCTCAACTAATATGTCTAAGATATGTTTTTCAGTATGTCAGTGGCTTTCCAACTTTTCACATCAAGATAAAATTTGGCTTTCTAAGAATCACCAGGTCTAAATCAGGCATATAATAAGACTATTCCAGGTCTAATCTAGGTTTAAACCAGCTCTAAAAGTGGACTAGAACATTTTAACTGTTATTCAAAACATGAAAATTATCCAAAGAAGGACCAAAAGGTGGGTAGAATGAACTCTAAATTAGGAAAACCCATAGAGTGAAGAGCTGTCCAAGTAGCACCTTCAGGTACTACTTGGCACAGTACCACAGTTTGAGAAACACTATGTTAGATTGGCATAATATCATCAAAATATTGTTATTAGGATACTTGCAAATAAATTACTGGTAATTTCATTCATTCATATTGCCCATTCCTAGTTTCATAGACAAACATGTCAAGTATATTTATAGTACAAAGTGAGCCTGTCACAATAATCCCTGACTGCTTTGTTGAATAAATAACTGGTTAAATATATTTTAAGGCTTTATATATTTATCGTGTGTACATTTTCTTTGCACTAGTGGGAAAAATTGGGTTATTTTTAGGCAACTTCCATGACAAAATATATATAACATACTTAAGTTTAAGTCTGCTATATACTTTTTGCAGTTCATAAGAGTGATTTATTGTGTTACATGTGCTCTCTATGTTATTGCAAAAAGATGACATAATTTCATTTCTATATTTCATGTACTGATATGTACAGTTTTTTTTTGCAACACTAACAAAGCACCCACCTTCTCACTCCCGATTGGAAGTGCTAGCACCGTGTAGATATTTTTCTTGCCATCGTAAACTGGCTTCCTGTCTCCAAAGAGCTGGGGTTTGAAGTGTTGTACCATGTATTCCACCACCTCCCTGTGAAAAAGAGAGAGAGAGGACCACTTTAATATGAGTCACTATTGTTTCGGATGCACAAAAGAGTGGTGCAAATCTGCCAATTAAAACCATCTCCCGATCATCACCCTTTGTCGACGAATATTGATCGGAGTGTACGGCTGCTGAATGTTGTATTTCATGGTCATGGGGGGACGTGAGAACAATACGATGGAAGGGTGGACTTTTCAATGAACGGTGCCTTGGCCTTCACATGAGTGTGGGGGATGAGTGTGCACTGAATGGGATGGGGTCAAAGGTTGTGATCTTTGAATGCTTTCTTGAAGGCTTTGTTCAAACCTTAATAGCAAAAGAGCCCCGAGCGTAAAGGGTCCATATTACACTATTTTCTGATCTAAGTTATAATGTTGTTTCCTCATCACAAACATATCTGGAGTTGTGTTTTATTTCATTTAAATGTTTAACACACAAACTATGCATACTGAGGCTCTCCTCTCAAACAGAAAACACTTCCATTTTTCACTTGTTATGTCATGTGGTAATACAGTCGGGAAGTGCTCCACTGTGTTTTTAAACTCCATACACCTTCTAGAATCATCTGGATGATTTCAGAGCTGGAATTGCCAATCTCTATAGAACTACAGATAAAATGTAGCTGTTAACTTGAAAACTACAGTTTCATGACATCACAAGGTGTAACAGAGCATTTTGAGCTTTGGAGATGTTGACAGCCCAATAATGCAGGATTACTCTAGAATAAAACACAACTCCAGGTATGTTTTTGATGAGGTAGCAACATTATAACATGGCTAAAAGGTATTTTGTATAATATAGAAACTTTAAAGTCCCCTATGACCATTCAGACTACCCATTTGACTAATATTTAATACCAGTTTACACAATTTTACTTCCTGGTTGGACATATGTAGCACAGTGACTTATGTAGAGGTAATTCCATAAGCAATGCTGTGTGAACAAAGGCCAAATATGTCTAATTAACACTACAGGTTATGCTTTGGCAAATAAAAAAATACATCTTTATTCTAAAATCAGTGTTTAAACTTTTAAAATGATTAAACTCTCCCTGATTTTTAGATGTAATTTTGTGGATTGATTTCATAGAGAGAGGGATTCCTTATAAATCTTAAATGATTCATGCATGTTCTGACAAATACCTGTTTTCTTCTGCCCCCTATCCCTGCTCACAGTTCTGTCCTTAAAATAGACCAAAAATTCACTTTGTAGGTCTTACATGATACCAATCAATACTAAAACTAGTGTCAAAACTAGATACTCATTTGAGCAGGTATCGATACAAAAAAAGTCACATTCACAGGACAGAAATGAACCTTTCCTGAATAGATATAGAATAATCTTCAGTTGCATCAGAGCAGGTTCAAGACCACATAGATTTGTATACCCTCATGGATCACTATGGAACATACCTGGATGATTGCAGGATTACACAAATATAAGGTTACATGGTAACAGAAAAGAAAGTACTACGATTTAATACTGAGAAATTGTTGTTTTTTTTAACATCGCGGCATCCAAATTGTTATTGAGTATCGAGCCTATTAGTTAGTATCAAAATAAAGTTTGAAATGTTAGAATCGTGAAAACACTAGGTGGGACCTCTTAGCTTTGCAGTTTTGATCAGGAAGTCAGTGTACCTTTGTATTATTTGGCCCCTTCAAATCAATATTACTTTGCTGTTTATAATGCATAAAATGTAAAATAATATTCTACATGTGTAATAGGTTATAGTATAATAAGTTAATATAAAGCCAAACTGGAGAAACTTTCGGGGTAAATCACTGAACTCCATAAGGTCAGCTCAGGTAGTTACCAGCTTAGTCACTGTTCAATGTGTTTCACAGAGCTGTGAAATTCAGCTTTTTCTTACTCAGCACTATGGTCTTGGAATGATTTATAAAGAGATCTTGAGTTGGAACACCTAAATTTGTGGTGACCGAGAAATACTCTTGAGAGACGTCAGAGTTTTTATAATGTAATATTTTGTGACTTTGCTGTACTGTATCGCTTGTGCTGGCTGCTACCTTGGCCTGGTCTCTCTCGTGGGACTTCCTGAGTAAATAAAGGTGTAAATAAAATGATAATAAAATATAACATATACATCGATAGTTTAGTTTAGGAACCTATGACAAGATTCAGACACATTAAGGAACTAAGTAAATATTTGATATAAACTTTGCCCTGACTGAAGTGAAAATGGTGGTTAATCTTGATTCACTTTTGACTCCATCAGTGTGGTCTGAAATCTCTGGCATTGTTGTGGCTGAGAAAATGCATTTTAAATATACAGATAATAAAGATATAGTATAGTTGATTATATTTCTAATGTTGCATGTAATGTGTAATGACAGGAGCCTGATGAACTTACGATCTAGTGTAAGAATGTAGTGTTCCCAATGCTATTCTATGTGTTGTGTTGAGTGCAGCCCCTGGCCTGTTTACCTGTTGACTCGTCGAGGGCACTTGTCAGGTTTGATGTCCACCTCATAGTGGTACACATCCATCTTTGGAATCTCCACCTCAAAGTAGTTGGCCAGCAGCTTGATGGGCTTGCCCACTGTGCCCATGCCCGGCCGGCGGGGGGCATGGAACACCTGCTGCAGGGGCGGGGGGAAGACCCCCATGGGCACTGCAACAAAACACATAAACACCTTGTTAGTTCAGAAAGGAGGAGTTATAGTGGTTAAGAAAAGGTTTTATTAAAGATGTGAAAACAATGACACAGCCTGGGTAATGAACTTCTCTGCAATATATGTACTAGTATATGAAAAACACACAACGCACCTCTACAAAAAGTTTACAAAACTAATGTTTTTATTTTGTTGAATAGAAAACTGCATTTGGATTTCATGTAAACAATACCCTTTATAAGAGAACATTTATCCATGACTCAGCTCAACATATAAAGCACGGGTGTCAAACATGCGGCCCGGGGGCCAGATCCGGCCCTCCAAGACCTTTAATCTGGCCCTCGGCTGATTTTCTACTAAAATATTTAAATTCAATTTTTTATTAAAATGTTGGTAATTTTCTGCGGTGGTGAGCACAGCAGCGTCTCCAGTGTCTCTGTACGTGGTCCCTCCCACCAGAGCAGCACAAATGAAGACTTGCCTCTTTCCAAATGCTCTTAAAGGAGTGCAGGATTTACCAAGAAAAAATTACTTATTCCTATTTATACAAGTTAATGTTAAACAAGTTCATGTTAAAACATTGTGTTGAAATTGTATTTTTCTTAAAGTTTCAGGTTGTTCATAATATTATAATATTTTGTAAAAGAAAGAGTTCATCAATTAAAAAAGATTTCTGTAATAGATTTGTGTTTCTCTGCACAAATATTTGAACTTATTGTTATTTTTGGGGTTTATATGACATGAGTTTTCTGATCCGACCCCTTTGGGATCAAAGTCGGTTGGATACGGCCCCCGGACCAAAATGAGTTTGACACCCCTGATATAAAGCTTTGTAATGCAGTAGTCTGAATGTAGCTGGAGTAGGACTAGGTCTTTACAATTAATTAATACTGTTTAAAAGCATTGTGAAAAGATCATTGAATTTTGTCACAATACATCGCATTTATCATTTTAGTACAGTTCAACAGCAATTCAGTAATTTGATAGAAAAGCATTACATATATATATACACACATATATATACATATACCCAGTACCTTTACAGACTACTGTTCTTCCAATTTTTGTGATGTCAACCATATGATGCATGCTATAAGGCATTAGGGCATATACCATCTCAAGCTCAATTGTTATAAAACTGTTTTTGTTTTGTTTTGTTTTGTTTTTACCAGTTGAACTGTGGCCCACTGGATATCTCAGCTATAGTTCTTAGATCCCTCTGCACTGGTTTTAATGTATGTGAAATACTTTCCCTAAACACGCCATGTTTGTCAAGGCAAGTAAAACTTTATTGTCACATGAAAGGGAAAATCTGTCTTGGGCACACTGTGTATAGGTGCATAAAACAACACAAATGGAACAATACAGGTTAGTGGAGACATTTGTACAGTCAGTGCACTGGTGGCTAGTGCAAAGTAAAGCAATGCAAAAGATGAATTTCCCTATGGAGACAATTTTAACTTTAACCTTAAACGCAGAGTTCAGAAAGTTTATTTTGATTTTGTTTGTTAAATAGATTGAAAGCCATGTATATTTTAATGAGAAAAATATAATTGAAAATGAGTGATTCACTGTATTGTTGTATCACCCAGTCCTAGTTCCCACCTCAGATATTAGAGACAGGAAGAAATGTTCTATCATTTTTTTTAAAAAAGGGGTACAGAATAATTTATTATAGCTTTAAATGCATGTTTGTGTCCAATCTATATACACACATTTAATTTAAAAGATGCCCATTGTCCCATCCAACCGTAACTGTGTCTATCAAAGCGTCTTTGCTGTGTGATATAAATCTCCCAGAGAAGAGAGGCCCATGGCTTTCGTCACAGTGGCGGCGTGCTCTAAGTGGCTGTGCAAGTTTGCATGATGCATGTTTGAAAAAGCTGCCTGCTCAGTAGAAGGGGGTCCCAGAATGGGTGCTACATGTGACTCCTGCCTGAGAGGGGCCCATGCTTTAACCTTTGGGTCCCCAGAGACCGGCCCTCCTCCAACACAACAAAGACCCCAGCTGCCCTGCTCCTCTGGTCCCAGCCGCACACACAGACACACCGTGGTACTACGTAGTGACTGCCCTCCCTCGCCCCGATGAACGCACACACAAACATGGGGGCCCCCCTCCACATTCCCAGTCTCACCATGGAGACACCACGGCAACACAGTATTGTCATGGATATCAGGGAGTGGTGTGTGTTGGGTTGTTGGTGAAGATGGGAGGAGGTAGGGTGCTACTTTGGTCATGTTGAAGAGACCTTGGCCTTTTCAGGCACAACAGTGAATTTGTTCCCACTACGGTCCAGGACGCTTATGGTTCTCAAAAGGGACATTCAAATAACCTGCTTCATGAAACGCTGTTATCATCTAGAAACACAGCATCCTCTGCCATTTTGTTAGTTTGTTTTTGTGAGCTAAAACAGTTTTGTTTTTTTAGAACTAAACTTTCATTAGATGAAGCCAGGGGCTTAAAATAAACAAAAATAAAATAAAGAAATAAAGATAACCTAGATGATATTGTAGAGTGTATTCTTATAGGAAATGGTCATTTAGTTTCTGTTTCATGCAAAAGCATCAATAAGTGCTGAAGTGCACCACATAATTAGTGGATATCAGACATAAAGATTAGTCACAAATTTTATTTTTCACTTTGGACTTGACAATGTCCGAAGATAATTTAAAGTTAAATTAAACTAAACCCTTAGTTTAGGGACACTTCTGTGTACAGAAGATGATAATTCTGTTAAGTCCTTCTCATACTAGGCAAACAGGAAAATAATGTAAACCCACGACGTTACTCTATTTATTTCATAATATATGCCAGTGCACAGTGGTTTATACTGTTAAAAGCTGTTTAGCCTAGGACAATGCTTTGTTAAAACATGTGTAGTAATAGCCTATGTGGTGATACTGCAATATTACGCTGCCCTCCTCCCAAACAGGGAAAGCCTTGCCTTAAATAGCCACAGTGAACCCTTGGGTCGGGCACGTTTCACCATCATATGTTCTCCAAACCTCAGATGCCACACTGACAGAAGGGATCGCTTTAAATAAGAGTTCTACTTGGCATTCTGCGTCGGCCTTCTTTTGGTATCAACGCTCAAAATCACACTTGGACACAATGCATCTGCCAAACACGATAAACGCGGGGTCCCTGCGTGTGCGTGCACACACATGTGCGAAAGAGCGCATACGCTGTGTGTCCAGACTTTTGTTGTGATCCGAGCGCACTCACACACGGCGCTAACAGACTCTTGATGGCCGTGCCAGTGAAGGCAGATGGTGAGAAGCGCAGCCAGGGCGCTCACAAACCCCAAGACAATAGCTGTCTTTCCTGGTGCTAAGTCTTGAAGCGGGGCTTTAGTTCTGCATCGCAACAGGAGCACTCGCGCTCACGGTTTTGGCGATGACGTAACGTTGAATCCATATGAGTATGTGGATTATTTGGATCTACTGACGCTGTAGCCCTACATATATGGCAAACTTTCGTGTTCAGGAGTTTGAAGTGCTGTTGCGGGGTCAAACACAGCTGTACAACCGTGACACTTATTGTAACCATCTCGAGCTCTTTCTCTCTGTCATCAGGTTACAACAAGGCAGGCACAACACTGAACATGTTGTCTTCCACCAATTTGGCACGTTTGCCCAAAACCGACTGTAGTGGAGCATGAACCAAAAACAATGATTTAAAATACACGAACGTACTTGAGAGCAATCGCACAAAAAAAGTCTAAAAATAGAAGTCCATTTGACACATTATCCACAACTTCCCTGACAGAAAGTTGGCCCTGTCTGAGCCATGTAAACAGGTCTGAGAGCGCACCTGTGGAGAACTTAAGTGCATTTGTCATCCGCTCAGCTGAATATGTGCTGCATTATGACAGCAAAGGTTCATTTCAGGCCATAGGTCCGGCACATCTTTCACTTACGCTGTAGCTTTGTCACATTAGGGTCACTACAAAGGTGAACACTTCACTGTGTTCCTTCTTCCGTTTATGACAGCTTTATAAATGTGGACTCCAAACTTCACTCATCACGACAGCTTATGATAAGAGATATATGTTCAAAAGAAGACACGTTTGCTCCCAAAGCCTGAGTGTGGGCACGGGGCAGGCTGTGTGGGCTGTGCAGGCTGCACAGACACAGCTGCAGCTGCAGCCTCAAGGCGGGCTTCGCTCTCCTCTCGGAGATTCCCACGACCTCTCCAGCGCTGCGCACGGCCAGCAGCGCTCTGCTCCGGTCTGCAGATGTAAATCTGAGCAGACTGTCTCATTTTGTACTAAGTGTACTCTGTGTTCCAAACCATATGATGCAGTGGTGTTGTCACCAACACTCGTAACACAGCCTACTGGTAGTATGAACTGCATTATCGCTGCAGACTATCTGACTCTCCATAATGTTCAAACGTTTCAGCATCGAATTAAAAATAAACCTACCAGCGCCAGACGGTCCCGGCTCCATCCCATTCACTTAGCCGCTCAGAACAGGCTAGCTAGTCCGTGCAGCTGTGGCCAAAGAGCCGGCCCCTTCAGGCTGGAAGCGACTCAGACTTCCAGCCCCCTCCTCTCGGTGTGTAGTCGTCCCCCTCTCGGTGTACCCCCGCCCCCTACCCCTGCCCGAACCCCTAGACCCGCAGAGGAGCTCAGGCTAACAGCGATTGCAGCCCGCTGACCCTGGCGCTGCAGACGGCGGAGCTGGAGGACGGCGCACCGCTGTCTCCGTGTGTCTCTGGGCAGCCTGCACTGGCGCGCACAGGGACGTGTTCTTCTGCGGCGCAGGGCGGTCTTCACGCTGTGTTGTGCTCCTGCTCGCAACGTCCAAGCAGGATTCTCTTCCAGCGGAACAAAAAGGCCAGCCCCTGGATCAGATCAGCCCCTCACCCCCCAAAACCAAAAAACTTCTTCTCTTCCATTCAAAAAGAGCCACGAGATTGGTAATGAACTTACAGTCTCACCCTAGTGGCCGAAGGTGGAATTGCAGTAGAGATATGCAAATGAATCAAGAGTTCAGTTTAGGTAAAGGTACACACAGTGACATCAATTTTTTCGGATCATTACCTAAGGCCTACACACGAGAAACAATCCTATATTTGGTCATTACGTTACATGCGCTTTGCTGACGTACGCTGGTGGCCATACATTTCTACATTCAATTCAACATTCATTCACACATTGTGCTCTTGCTGTTGTCCCTATAACAGTATGCATATATACTCTACCATCTACCATTAAATATCCAGTATTTCATAGTCAACATAGAAATACACGAGCCATGTACATGATTCGAAAATCAACTGGACGTGAACAGGAAGTTGTCATATTTTCAGTACGTCACTTTACTCCAATGCGGAAGTGATCGTCATCGTTAGAGCTGTGAGTTGGAAGCGCCTGGCAGAGCTGTCAAACGTGCCGAGATTAGCCTGTTTAGACAAATAAACTGAATGAATGAAGCTTTGGCTATTAACTACAAGTCTCATCGGATCGGCTGCTGCTAGGTTTGTGGTTTTCTCGGATCATTTCATTCATTGCACTGCATGCCTCCTAGCCAAAGTATCAGTAGCGGTTCATATTTAGCCTCACTCTCACTTTACGCTTATGAAGGATTGCTGTATTAAAGCTTTAACGGGACTACTAATGTGTGCTGTGCAATACATTCGTCATTTTGTGTTCACCGTTTTGCTATGTTTGCAGATTTGTGTAAAATGTCGTGGATAAAAGAAGGTGAATTGAATTTTCTTGAGAGAATCGCAGCTAATATTCTTAAGGTGAGCTTGTAAACCTCAAGTTTTAAGTATTCGAGAGAAGTTGTTGCTTGTGCTTATAGGACTGCAACGACAATGGGATGATTCACGATCTGATGACTGACAAGACTTGCACTCATTCATAAAGGACAAGACATCCTCACATTGTTGGGACTGAATATTAGATTAAGTGGATTTACTGACAACAGGTTCTCAGTCTATTTGAATTGGTGCTGCGGTTTTAGGTGATCTAGATAATGTCTTATATTAGATAATGTAGTTCCTTATTTGTATCGCCACTTTTCTCAGGCAGGACCCATGCCTAAACATGTGGCGTTTATTATGGATGGTAACCGGCGTTTTGCACGAAAGAAAAACATGGATCGTCAAGAGGGGCACACGCAAGGATTTAACAAACTAGCAGAGGTGAGTTTGTACTGTTGCTTAAAACTAACTTTAAAAATGTTTATTTAATTGATTTTTTTTATTTTCTGTCCCAGACCCTAAGGTGGTGTAAACATTTGGACATTCAGGAAGTCACTGTATATGCATTCAGTATTGAGAACTTTAAGCGAACTAAAGATGAGGTGGATGGACTGATGGAACTGGCCAGGCAAAAGTTTCTGAAATTATTGGAAGAAATGTAAGTAAATGTTTCACATATGCTTGTTGTTATTGACAGTGGGACACTAGTCACACCACTACATCCATCACATGATTCACAACTTCCTTAAAGTTAATATAGGAGTTACTGTTCTGCAGACACTATTGGCTATTCATAAAGTTTCAGTCTTTGCCTCACGCATTTGATCTGTATTCAGAAGAACTAACTTATTTCATCCATATTTTGACTCCTGTGCTTGTCCTATCCCTGTCAATTGATAAATGAACATACACATTATTTAGTTTTATTGTTTTTTAGTTAATGATTTAGTTAATCTACAATACACTGAATCTTTTTTGTATTCAAAATTAATTCCAAAATATCCAACACTTGTTTTCAATCAAATGAGATGAAGGTCTATTTGTAGAAAATAAACATTTGAATACCTCTGCATTTTGTACTGTAATATAGTGGCAAAACCACAGTTCTAAAAACAGTACATACATATAACAAGTTCTAATACAACAATATGCTAATTGCATAATCACAAATGTTGGTCTGGACTGGAGATATGCAAAAAATGAAATCTTGCGTGATATCCCAAAACACTGATATAAAGTGACACTGAGATTTTTGTTTTGTCTGATTTTGTAGATTTTCTGTATTGACTCTTAACTTTAAAAAACATTCTCTTTTCTTAGGGATAATCTTAAAAAGCATGAAGTTTGTATTAGAGTCCTGGGAGACTTGAATATGCTGCCACTTGATCTTCAACAAATAATTGCCAAAGCTGTTGTAGCAACTAAACATCACAATAAGTAAGTGATGGTTTTCATGTTTCAAGTTTTCTTAACTGCCCATTTTTACAGCACACCTTTATTATGATGCTATAGTCTAATTACACTGTTGTGAAGATGTCAAAACCACACAAATCACCAAGTACTAAGTCACTGAATACATGCATGGAAAGTGGGTATTTATGAGAAAATAGTTACTCTTTCAATTGGTGATATTTAGAATAGTTATTTTCCTAAAATCAAAGGAATACATCACAATATTTGATTGTGCAAGTAAGGCTTAAAACGTGCATGTGCGATTTTTCTGTCTCTAAAAGTCGGTGATAAATAAATGCAGTGCAACAAACCTAAAGTTGTTTTTAATCCTATGTTGTGTTGGTAATTATAAAGTGAAACTGCATGTTAAAGTATTCAAAGTAAACAGAATACAGTACTCTGATTGGACCATGTAACGAAATAAGTAGCAAAATTTTATTGCAGATACCAAAAATAATATCTAAATATCTCAATACCCATCTATGTAGAATAGGTTTTAATGTTGAATTTTTCTCAATATGAGTCACTGTTTTCATCTTTACTATATTATTTGCTCATTGCTCTTTTGACTGTTTTAATATGTGTTTCGTAAACCGTCTTTGAGTGTCCTGAAAAGCACTATATGAATTAAATGTAATATTATTATTAATAATATATTAATAGAAATACACTGAAAAGGCACGCCGTGTAATTTTTCTGGTATAGGGAACATCACATGCTCATCTCCTTAAAGATGCATGGAATGTTCTTCAGTATGACATGTTGTGGAAATGACCTGTAAAGTAATACAAAACATACAAGAAGGCTATCTATGCTGGTTTATTATGTTTGAATGGTAACAAATGGTTCTAAAGTTGACAGTTTTTGCTGCAGACGGCCCAGAGCAATGGGGTAACAACACTTAAATAGATCCAGCCCAATCCAAGTACAATGTGCATTTAGGTCAGTTTTTGGCCTTCTTTGCTCAGAGAGGTAATATCTTTACATTAACATTTGAGTACAGGTAAGAATGATCAGATAATAGACATACAACAGCAGGTCCTTCCTGTGAGACTAAAGGACTGGATAAAGAATAGTGTGGCGTTTAACACTTCTTACAGTGTACCTTGGACAACTGAAAAACAACACATGATACTAAAATCACCTCTACTTCCATTAAACCAGTGTTTACCATTTATGTTACAAGTGTTATTACATACACTTAAGTATTTCTTATTAAGTAATGACACTACGTTTTGTTGTAGAAATATGTATATCATGTACAGAATATATTTATAACCCATGACTGAAACTGTAATGACATACTAGTAATTATATTTTTAGTAACTGTTTTAATATTTTGCTTTGCAGATGTTTCCTTAATGTATGTTTTGCCTACACATCAAGATATGAGATCACAAACGCCGTCAGAGAAATGGCCTGGGGAGTGGAGAATGGCCTGATCAAAGCAAGGTATGGCATTTGTTCAGTGAAATGCATAGTTTTTTGTTAGTTTTAAACATTCCACATCCTTCTATCCAAACTTGAACCACAGGTTTTTCAAGAACTCCACTGCTGAGTTTGCCCACTTTACCTGTTTGGAGATTGTACTTTAGTTTTAGGTATCAAGACATGTTTCATAGTCACAGAATATTTTGTACTTTGTAGTCATTTAGCCAGTTAATTGGTGGATTGGTGGACCAAGATTGGTCAACTTAGAATTTGATTTTGATTTTATGGATTTATATGGGACAACAGCAGCTACACTATAGGTATACAGCTATAAGATTTTTGCAAAAACATTCACACTTGTTTTCTGAATTTGGCCATTTTTTTGGTTTAAATTGTTACTTCCTAGTTGTAAATCGTAACATCACACTGTACACAACTGTACTTGGTGTACACAGAAATTATGATCTGACAAATGCAAATATAATTAAAGCCGCAAGCGGCGTCAAACGGCCCTTGCCCAGTGCACGCCGCGCCCGCAAGCGCCACGCACACAAATGCCGCGCCCTACACTATCTCTAATATCCGTAAACCCCAACCACAAATCTAATCCCTAGTCCCAACCTTAACGCTAGGCCTAACTCCTCACCTAACCCTGCCATTTTTCTGAATTTGTGTGCCCACAAATCCTCCACCAGAAAAATTACATAGTTCACCTTTAAATGTTTGCACCCCCTGCTGGCCAACCATGAAAATTGCAAAATGTCAGTAATATACGTTTTTGCTTCTAGTCGTTCATAGAATCTAATTCCCATATTTGGTACAAATCCGATAATGTTGACATTTGATGTCTATGCTAGGGGGCACTATAGTGTACACTTTTCATATGCTTTATAGTGTATTATATTCAGGTGGAGATCATGCATTAGTAATTCAAATTTCAGCAAGATTGGACTTAGCACGTGCGTGTAATAATATTATTTTATATAATTTTGGGGGGAGTCTTTGCACCCCTGCTGGCCAAGGGTGAAAAATTTCCCATGTCCATGACCTATTTTTTTGCTCATAATCATGCACAGAATTTAATTCCCAAATTTAGTACAGATCTGATAATGTTGACGTTTCATGTCTATGCTGGGGGGTGCTATAGTGTTCATTTTTCTTGTGCTGTATAGTGTATTATATTCAGACTGAGATCACGCATTAGTGATTCAAATTGCAGCACGATCGGACAAAGCCTGTGCGAACAGGAGTGAATCTTGACATCATGAAAATATCAAAAATTTTGATTGAAATTTGTGGCTTCACTGCACGTAAACCATGACAGTTATCAAAATAAATTGGATAACTTTAGATGCCCCACTTCTCTAGTCAGATGATATATGGTGATTTTTCAGCCCTGTGGGTGAAAGGAAGTGAAGGAGTTCGTCCAAATGCAACATCAGCGAAAATGCTGACTCAAATTTCAATCCAAAATGGCCGCCTTCTAGTTTGTCAAGGGGCGTGACCATATTTTTTGTGTGTCTTCACATGATGAATGTGTGTACAGAATTTCGTGGCTCTACGACAAACTTGATGTCTGAACGTTTCCCATAGGCGCAATGTATTTTGACTTATCCAGGTGGCACAGTGTCGCCATTATTTATGCCCATGCATGCAACCTATATTTTATTGAATTTTTTGCCACTTCTGAATTTTGGTCCAAGTTTGGTGAGTTTTTGAACGTGTTTAGGGGGTCAAATTTGAGCTCAAAGAGCAGAACAATAATAATAAAATAATAATAATAATAATTAGAGCAAAAACAATATATCTGTTAACATGGGACTAACATAATAGATGTTTTTTGAAACCTGTCGACCTTCCCCACGTCACCGTAGGGTCATTGGTGAGTGACCGGCACTGATGTGCTCATCATTCACCATCTCGTCCGGGTCGCCCCCTGACCCACTGACTTCCATTCATTTTAGCAGTGATAAATATGGCCCAGGCCTTGGTTGTGGGTTACTGGAATACTGCTGTTCATGCCGGGGCACGACCGAGATGACGAAGCTGCACGACATCCTCTCGTATTCGCGCATGTGCTCGTCGTTGCCCATGCGTTCGTCGTAACGAACGCAGTAGGCTCTACGCCCTGTCGGGGCTCGGGCCTAAATCTAAGAAAACACATCTATTTTTGTTGAAATCTTGTTTAAAGTATCAGCATAAATATGTTCCTTGCTGTAAATTGTACCAACCTTTTATACAGAATTATCCCTAGTGTGTATCAGTATGTTTTAACTCTTACTTCCTCTAATTTTTTACACATTTTAAATGTTCTCTTTGAAAATTGCTTCTTGATAGGTATAAATTTAATGCAATTTATATTTACAATAGTCCAACCAAATTAAATCAAAATTAGATGATCAGAAAAATCTGGCATACATGCTTTAATCTGCATTTCTTGTTTCATAAAAATACAGTTTCTTAGAACTTTTCTGCATAAAACATATTTTGTAAGATTATAGACATTTAATACTTTTTGGAAGTTTTGCCACGATCTTTTAGTCAACTAATCAGTTGGCAGGGCATGTGTTTTATCCACCAAGAATTTCTTTAGTTGACTACAGTAATAGTACTTTGTGTTGCATTCAAGCCCTAAAACTCACTTTATACAGATATGTTGGCATGATTTTAATTTTATCTATCATGTGGACTTTTAATTATTTTTGTACTTTTTGAGTGTCTCAGTTTTTACAACTTTGTAGCACTCCTGTCCCCTAAAGTCTTGCATATTCTAAATTTTTATTTTTTTTCCCCACAGTGACATTTCTGAGTTATTGCTCAGTGAGTGTCTGTACAGCAATAATTCTCCCAACCCTGATCTGCTCATTCGAACATCCGGAGAAGTGAGGCTAAGTGACTTTCTACTTTGGCAGGTATGAAAAATTACAGTGAAATTACAGGAAATGAAATCAGATGTGTCATTTAACAGTCTCCTTTCTACCACACAGACCTCTCACTCCTGCGTAGTGTTTCAGTCAGTTCTGTGGCCTGAGTACACATTTTGGAATTTGTGTGAAGCTATTATTCAGTATCAGCTCAATCACAAATCTATTCAGGTATGTTTTTTTGTTTACGGTCTTATACACCTGTAGTTAGGGCTGTGCAAATACTTAGTTGCACTCATATACTTGGTAAACATAATCAACCACAATGCAAAACTGTAGATTTTCAACTAAGGCTCAGTGGCGCTGCATTGCGCAACTGTTGAGGATTCATTTTGTGTCTGAATGCTAATGTGTGACATTTTAAAGAATAATTATGCATATTTCATAATTTGACAACAGTTTTTTTTTTTTTCTAAATTGTTTTCAATGACAGAAAGCCAGAGATCTTTATCAAGAGCAACAGGAGTTACAGCAGCTGGAGGCAGACCGCTCCTGTGTGACGGAGCAGCACCAGGGCAATGGGAAACCTTCTGACATTAAACAACAACAGGAGGCCCTGCAGCAGTACAGTGCCCACAGAGAGGAGCGCGTTCAGGACTTCCTACAGGAACTCAAGCACAAGAGAGACTTGTTTTTTAGCAACTTAAGCAGTGAAGCTGCTGCTACCTAAGAACAGTCATGCCCAATGTTAAAACCTCTTAGTTTCTCGCTTCTGAGGGAAACTGATTTTTTTCTTCCCGATTTGTATAAGACAAGAGGGCACCTTACCCCTATGGGGCTGTAGAATAAATGTGGAATTATTTATGATTGTAGATTTTTAAAGAAATATATGTGGAAATATCTGGTCAAGGTTTAGTTATATAATAGTGGGTCAAAAGCATGCTTTTGGTGTGAGCATTGAGTCACAGGAACATGTTTTGGAAGTGTTTCTAAAACATGTAGTGCGTTATTGTACTTATACTTTATGTTGAAGTCGGCAGTAAGTGTTAAATGTTGAGTGTGTTTTTGAATTTAACTAGATTTTGACCAGATGTACAATAAAGTGATAATTATGTGGCAAAATGAACCATGATGTGAAATGGATTTCACCGCCTCAAGGTTTTGTTTCTGACAGTGAGCCCTGGATGACTTGTGTTCTATTTTTTAAAAACAATGTTTACTAAAACGAGCACCAAGCCCTCATATCAACACCTTATAAATAACACTACTTAACAGTAGACAATAAATTCAAATAAACTGTTGCTGAATGATGTTTTTGCCATTTTATATTTTAGATCGTCTTAGCATTATATTTAGGACCTAACCTGTTATCACAATGTTAATAATATCGGTAAGGCAAGGCAAGTTTATTTGTATAGCACAATTCGTACACAAAGTAATTCAAAGTGCTTTACAGAATAAGAAATACATTAAAATCATAATAAAAACAAATCAAAACATAAATAATCATGAAGATTAAAATGAAAAAAGAGAGACATAAATTGGAGAGAATTGGAGAGAAGAAAACTCCTACTCCCACGGATTTTTTTCCTCGACAGTAACTTGTACACGTATGTCAATGAGAAAGAATTCCAAGAGTTCCACAAATGCCGACAGACAGCGCCACCCTGCGGCACTGCGTAAAATCGCGAGTCTTCTTCAGTTCCTTCTGACAAATGGGCGGTGCTTAACAGAAACCACGTGACTGTCGTCTGTCCAATGAGTACCGTCTCAACACAAAACCGGTTCAAACCGGTTTCGTTCTTATATTTCAGCGTATAAACTACAAAAACATTCGTTTGCATTATACATTCGCCATTTTACGCAGCAGCTCGCAGGTTGTCGTGCGTAATCCTCCTGAAAAAAGTCCGTTTTTACGGTTATATTTTTGTGATTTTTTTCTGCAATTACTGCAACCAACATGGGCAAAGCAAAGGTAAGATTTTTTTTTTACTTATTTTTTAACTTATTGCATGAAATTTGCTGCTAACTCGAGCAAATACAGTGTTGTATTGAATGGATATGTGCATCAGCGGGACGTCATCATCTCAAATGCTACAGCGATGGCGGTCACGCCGATCTGCTCTCATTTTCTCAAATGCAGTGCGTTTTTTGAGAGGCTCTGCAGGTCGAAGCTTATAAAGACTATTTTAAGAAATGCTGTTGTTGTAAAGATAGTAAACGTTTGGTCAGCTCTGTGTTTAGAGATGGAGCCGTTTACTGAAGCAGGAGTGAAATATTTCGCCTGTCTTCAGGGCAGCTGCTGGTGGGGGATGTAAATCTTGACAGGTTACACGCATTATCTAAATTTCCACCGTAGAAAATGCGTTTTTAGCCATACTACCGTGAGAGAAAAGCGAGGGAAATGCATAGCCCGCCAAAAATCGATTTAAGATATTTCCAACTCGACAAATTAGTTATTTGAGGAAGAGGATGGGGGAGGGGCGGCTATTCTTGTCCCTTCTTATACCCTCTTTAGATTATGATAAGTAGCTAACATTTTACTCAACATAGAATTGAATAAACACAAAATGTTTTAGTAAAAAAAAAACGCCTTTTCCTAGAGTGATGACATCGTGTTTTATGGCAGCCCAAGCCATTGCGCATCATTTGCTATGGGTTGGTCGTAATGGATGTTTGGGCGCGTAATAACCTTGTAGTGGATTAGTCGTTTCCGAATTTGCATTGGATGAAGATGCAAAAATGATTTACAAAGATGCACCCTGCAGACGTAGCCTCCTATCTATAGAAATTGGGAATTAAAGCTTGAATTGAACATTGGCCGGGGTTTATCGTCTGGGGAAGATAGTGATTTTTCAAAGCGCAATAATCCTCGGTGTCACAACAGCTGTCCGTCGGCGCGAACTGATACAAAACAAAGGAAGCTGTCAAGGCGCCAAATCTACGTCACAACGCTCGTGCAGCCCACATTTGAATTCAAATATGAGCGGGAAACCTTTGTCATCCGCAATGTCCGCACAGCAACACCAGCCTCTGACCTCACAAACACCATATGGACCATTCATATTTAAGTCAATTACTGCTGTTATTGAGTTTCACTTTTAACACAATCAATCAATACTAATGTTTTTCTCTTTTCTTCTTTTGTTTCAGACACCAGCCAACACTGAGGTTTGTGGTTCAAATATTACATTTGTTCAAACGGTCATGTAGCCTTAAGCATTAGTTCATATTAATGATGCATGAGTTGCCACATTGTTCTCACGTTGTGAAGGCTCCTTAGTAGATTTGGGTCTTTATTGTAAATCTGTGTAGACTTTGTGAGATCTAATATAATAACTAATTTTATTATTTTAACAGCGGAGAGTCTCTGCACGTTTGGCAAGCGTAAGTTTTATACATTTTTTTAAAACACATTTTACTTGTTCTTTTGTCCCTTCAGCGTTAATAGAATTTTTTTTTTTTTTTTTTTGCAGAGACCCAAACCAGCAGCGGAGCCCAAGAAGAAGGCTGTGAAGGTAAATGGCTTAAACATCACTGAAAGATGAAATAGACTCATGAGCATTAGCTCTCTTTCAGTTTATAACAGGATATTAATTTATTTTTTTTTAAAAAAATTGTTACTTTTCAGAGGCCACCCAAGCAAAAGAAGGCCAAGACAGCAGAGAATGGAAGCAAGGCTGAGGTTTGTAGCAGACAGTAAATGGATTTTAAGAGTCAAACGTGTTGTAATAAAGTATATCTGATCTCTCTCCACAGGAGCCAAAGGCTGAAGCCGCGGAATGAATAACTGTTGTGCTTACTCTGTGTACTTGGTGATTGTACAGTTTTAAAATAAGTATTTTTTACCAAGTTTTATATTATAAATGTCATAGGTTTGTTTTGGGCTTGCACTTGATGTAACATGAGTTTTCACCTTCATATCAATTTTATATCCACCTAAAGTAACTACCGTCCATATCCTGTATGACATTAGCCCGTTTACTTTAAACTGCTGAGTAATATTTGTAAGTTGAAGTCAAGAAATTTGAAACATTGTGTGGCAGCTAAAATATTGTTACAAATGTAGGGACATTAGGAATTAAGACACTCCCTATATATTTTAATGTCAAACTTAATTATGGAATGGCTCAAAATGTTTTGAACTACTTAGAATCACGTGATATTTAGTCAATGAAAATGCATCAGATGTCTTTTTGAAAGTAGCTGTAGATCAAGTTTGATACATCCCAAAAAACATGATGTGACCTTGGTTGTCTGAAAAACTGTTAAATTATGTAAGTGGAAAAGGAAACTTTTCTGACAATGGTTGCTTTTCATGTTCTTGAATAAAATTACAAAAAAAATATAATGTAGTCTGGCTGTTATTTTGTTGAATAAAAGTCTAGGTAAATGAAGATTTACAGTAAAGTAGGTCTAGATGCTGCTTCCTGTTCAGTGTTGACCTCAGTAAATGTGATTTAGTGCAGTTTTACCATGACTAACCTTGTCATAATCATAAAGCCTTAACTCCTTACTTCAAAAGAAGGCCTAGTTTGCTAGAATGTTGGTAACTGGAAAACAATAAACCAACACTGGCAGCAAATAACGGCTGTTCATCAGGTCAGATCAGTAGAGGGGGATTGGTGTTATGATGATCTCAGGGATAAGAGGTGAGCGATTGGGCAACAATGAGATAAACTAAACATTCGGTCGTACAGGTGGAGGAGCTGCATGGGCTCCTCATCATTGCAGGAGTCATACTAGAGGACGTTTTGACCTCATCGCACCACCAGATGGCAGTGCTACCTTATAGGATCACAAAGTGAAACCGCAAAGGCTGCAGAAGCGCGGAAAAGGGGGTTTCTGTTTAAAGTAGTTGAAATTCAGTCGTGTTTTAAGATAGAAATTATCATTTTAGTCAGGTTGATATCTTCGAGAATGTTTTTGTATTACACACGTAAAAAATGTAGTTATGTTATCCAAGTTCTTATCCTAACGGAGTTATTGGCTACTTAATCACTAGGTACTCTGAGTATGGGACAAAGTTGGGAGGTTTGGTCAAGGCCATGGGCATAAAGCTCATGGTTCGGGTTCTCAAAAATAGGAATGCCTCGGCGCATTGAGGCGAATTCCGCCCCAGAGCCGTAGAGACGTGTGGATTCAGTGAATATCCCCAATCCTAGACTCAGCAGACTCAGGGGTCACCAGTGTGTAGTGAACAGCGGAGACTGGATAAGCGTTCACCCCAAAATCCTGCAACACCAAAATGAGGACTGAAGTGGGAATACAGCTGGAGTGCAAGAGAGAACGCGCCAGCGTTAACATAGTGGATCCCTGGTGATTATGTCACTTACCATGAGGGTGAAGGTGATCCCAAAAGAAACACGTCCTCGCGGGGGGTATGGGGCGGCTTTACGTTTGGAGCGTGTGCTACGTGAGCGAGCGAATGCAAACAGAAGGCTATAGGGAATCATAGGCGTGTCCTATTCATGTAAACATGTAGGAAGGCTCTATGTGACAGGCTTCTGCAATATTAGGCTTACGTCTTGCTGATTTGGAGCGCATTAAATTGGGAGACGTAGGCCTTTGTTGCAAAGGTAATTAATACACTTTCCCCCTCTCGTTTGTTGGAATCTCATTCAATTAATTTTGGGGCCACTTGAGCCGTGGTGCATATGGATTCTAGACTGTTTAAACTGAACTTAAAGCACCGATCCAATGAAAACTCTTCCAAAGACTGCAGAATAAACACAATGTTCTTTCAACATATTACTGAGAAGCAGCCCGTAGTACACGTGAGCACATGTGGTGGACGAGCTCACTTTGGCCTGACGTGGGGGCCCTCTTAGTCCCCGTGCACATCGACGCGGTCTGTGTGTGCTTTCTACTCAAAGCCACTCCCCCCTGACATATAGAACATGCTTCCCCGGCTTCCTATAAAGAGGGGAGGCGCGTGTACACTGTGTACTATCCATCCCAGCCAAGGCAATCCGTCCCAAAAGCTGTCCAAACCTCATCACAACTCCGGGTAAGTGCACTTTTCACTTTTAAAACACTAAAGAACATTTGAGATTGTGCAGGATAATTGTCAAAAAGCCAATTTATTACTTGTCAAGCATAACACCTAAAGACTGGCTGCAACAAACTGGCCCATTGTTTCTTCGTCAGGTTTGGGCATAGTGTTGTAAATCTGCATTTTATGGCAAGTTTTTGCAGTTGTAACAATTCGTTCCAACTTTTTTGGCTAAGAATACACATCTGTAGTGTGTGCACGGATAATGTATGGAGGCTGTTTTGTTATAATCTATAGTTACTTGAATAGGCTTATTAAAAAAAAAAAAAAAAAAAAGTAATTATCTTATTTATTTTGCTACTTTCTTACTATTGCTATTTTGGGAAAAGAAATTTGATGTACTTTAACAGACACAGACAAGTTGCAAGCAGTCTTCAGAATAGGCAAAGTACTTGTTCTTTAAAAGTTTTTTTATGAGTGATCTTGCATGTTTTGGTCATTTTTCCTTTGTCAGTCCATTCATTTCTGCATAAGAAGTGTAGGGTGCTTCACGAATCAACTGAACATTCTGTTCTCTGGCAGTGCGGACAACATCACAGCCCCCCATCACCAAAATCTTTCTTGGACAAACTTAAAAGATTAAATGCAAATTGCAGTAGTTAATACAGTATTAAAAAGTTGTATTGACTGTAGCAGCTGTCCTTTTTGGGTTTTTTTTTTAAGGATTTTGATGTTTTATTATATAATTAATTCCAATATTGTACTCCTTTGACTTTACATTGAACTTGGTTGATAACAAGCTGAATGGCGAGATAGTGAAATTGTCCATGCTTAATTTTATAGAATTCTTATTTTCTTTGTTTAGGAGTGCCAAAGTTCACAGCTAAGACACCAAGTGGCATTACGAAATTCATATGCAGATTTCATGCATTGTCTTAAGAGCTATTATCAGAAAATGACACTTGTCACATAGAAATCGCATATATTAATTGCATTGATTAAAATATTAGTATACTAGTAGACATGGCTTCATTTAGATTTTTTTTTTTTTTACTTTCTTTCATTGCAGCATCATCAGTCTTGGGATGGGGAGACGGGAACACTGTGTCTCTATGGTAACAGCCGTGGTTACGTTATCGTCATGTATGAAGGAAAAGGGGGGTGCAATCTTGTACACATGGAGGTTACTTATATTGAGAGGGCTGTTGCTTGGTAGATTTTTGCAAGAGTGTGTACTGAAATTGCTACTGGCTTCATTCATATCCACATGCGCTAGTAGGAGGTCCCCTGCTCTGGGTGCTGCTGCTGGGAATCATATGTGGCTGTAGGGGGGAGGGGCCAGGGAGTAAAGAGGAGTGGAGATGGAATATGATTCGCTGAGAGAAAAGAACACGGTGTACCAAGTTAATAAATTAAATGTATAGGGACAACCCAAAACTGAGACGATAGAATGTGTATGGGGGGTGTTTATTATGCTTTTCCAGTATAGAACATTTGTGCCATAATGACTGGACAGTTTTTTTTGTCCACTAATAATAAGATAAGCTTAAAGGTGCACTATGTAATTTTTTGGTTGGGGGTCCGTCACCTGTTTGTTTCTATGGAAATGTCTTTGCTCTGCCTGAAATGTTCCACAATATGTCATTAAACAGCTGTAACTTACATTTTTTTTCAATTACAGGTGTGGTTTTATAGTTCAAAAACGCCCCAAAAAAGCAGGCATTCTGACTGTGAGCGGGGTTGCCTCTCCATAGATCTGACCTGTAACTTGGTCCCCTTTGGTGTCCATGAAGATGAATAGATTTAAAACCATACTGTGAAACATTCCCAACAAAGCTATTAATATCTCCATGGAGAAAGCAAGTTCTAACTAGAAAATATTACGCAGTGCACTTTTAAAAATCCTACCATATCCATATTAAGCAATTCTGGCCATGCGTCATCTCTTGTTATCATACGCAGGCTAATACTCGGTGACCAAGCCAACACCTGGCACTTTGAGAATGCTCACATGAAAAGATTCCAAATGGCAAACGCCCTTTTGTCTTTTTAAAGTTGGAATACTCACATGTGATTCACTTGGACTCCTCCCCAAACATGCAGTAAACAAGGTCAATGAGCCATCAGTTAGCATGTTCCACACCTACATGCCTATCTGAAATTATCAACACATTGTCCAGTTATTATATCTTTTAGTTTATGTATTTATTTATTTATTTACTTATTTATTTTTTGCAACTTTTGTACTCGAGGTGTGCATGTGTCAGCTTGAGGTTTTCCATTGCAAATCCGCAGCAGCTGATACTTGAGCTGACATATAGTACTTTACAAGCAGAGTAGAACTGACTATATGTGGGCTGTACATTTTGTTCCCATTGTGATTCAGCATAACATTTTTCATAACAGCGTGTTCTCAATTCAAAATATATATACAAATTTACATAGTGGATTAATATCGTTTTTGTTATGCCTTTGTGAATCTGTAATTATTAGTCTAATCATTACTCACTTTTCTGATTGACTCTGAGATAAGTTCTTGGCTTCCAGTAATAAACCAAAATTTTTGTTCTGGTGCCAAATGTGTGAAAGCTTTTAGAGAGCGTTTTAACTTTTCTGATGCTTGTCGGATGCTTGGAGATGTTATTTTTTTTGTCTGGAATGTCATGTATCTTGCATTTACTCAATAACATGAGTTTTTACTGACCTAAAAACTTGTATTCTTACTGTGAGTGGGCTCGCCTCTCCATAGATCTGACATATAACTTGCCCCTGTGGCGTTACCTGCCATCTTTGTAGAGATAAATGAGTGTAAAGCCATACTGTGGAACATTCCAGGAAATATCTCCATGAAAAGAAGCTGGCACGTTGCACCTTTTAAAATTGCATATTTAAATGTACCAAACTGCAAAACATTCATTGGCTGTTACATAAATGAGCTTAATTCAATTAAATTCAATTCAAATGTAAAAGTATTATGTAATATTTTTTGTTTTATATATATATATTTGTTATACAAGTTTATATTTTTCCCATTGGTTAGACTCTACCTTGAATGCACCATTAAAATTTGATTAAACCGTATGTGACAGTGCTGTGTTTTGGAGAGGGGCGTGTGTTTTGGAGGCAGCCCATTGAGAGTAATGCTTTGGGACAGCTCTGTATGTGTGTGTGTGCGTGTGTGTGTGTTGGAGGGTGTGCGTTCTAGATTGTCTATGTCGTTCATCTGGTTGGGTAAGCGGTAGTATAAAAAGGCGGAGCTCCCGGCCACAGCTCACTCACTCAGTTCAAGTTCACAACTCTGTGCTTGGATTCACAACATGGCTATCATGCGTTTGTGACAACTCTCCTAAAGTAAGACATTTTTGGGTTGAAATTGGTTTTGAAAGTTAATATTTTTCGTCAGGCGTAGCAAAACTTTGGATTTTCATTCAGCTTTTGCCAGGTTTGCTCTCTGGTACTTGTGCTTCCGATCTTTCCCTTTAAATCCCAAATGTTATGTTCCTCCTCCTCTTCCTTTTGAAACCTCACTCCTTGGGTTTTCCTTGTCTCTACTATCTGCAGTTGTCTTTCCAACACTTCACAGCTGTCATTTGTGCCATTTGATCTCCAAAGTTGAATTATCCTTGCCTCACTGATTCAGTTGATGGCGCAGTATGAATAGAGACACTGTTGCCCTGGTCTAAATCTGGATCAAACTTGGTAATTGAATAAGTCAGAGATCACCGGCGTTAGAACAGGCTGCAAATGTGGTTATTTCCTAAATAAGTTAAGGTGTGAGTTTTACGGATGCACCGATTCGATACTGGTATCAGATATCGGCGCAGATGCTGAGAATTTTACTGGATCAGATCTGCTTCTGAATATCGGTGCAGCTGATATCCTGGTTGGACATAAATATTGATGTAATGCAATTGCTCTTCTGTACTGTTCTGTTGTTTCTGTTAACATGAGTTGGCTTTGGTGCAAGTGATTTCAAGTCAGACCTGCTTGATCCCATTTCTTGTTTTGTTTAAGGATGGGTGATATCTCAGTTCCGATATTAGGTTTTCCAAGCTCTCGATATTGGTTAATTCGAAAATTTACCGAAATGTATTGATTTTGCTGCCCCAGTCTCAATGTGCCCTTGTGTCATTCCCAGTTTGTTCATCAGTGCGTCACTTTGTTTTTGTGAGTAAATATTGAAATAGGAGGCCAATTAGCCAAAAAATATGATTGTATGTTTCCGCAATCATAAATCAAATTATTTTACATCCTTGTTTTTAAATACATTTTGCTTCTATTTTTACAGTGGAGCTATGTTATTTTGTGAACTGTACTATATCTTAAAGGTGCACTATGTAACCTTTTTGGTAGAGGGTCTGCCATGAGCTTGTTTCCATGGAGATATTATTGCTTTGCCTAAAATTTTCACATTGTGGCATTAAACTCACCTATGTTGCATCTATTCAATTAGTTTTTCAAATCCTATGAAAAACTCTCCACAGATCCTGACCTGTAACTTATGGGTTTGTCTTTATAGAAAAGTTTAGTTTAATGCCATACTGTGGGACATTCTAGACAAAGCAGTGACATCTCCATGAAGACAACCAGGTGGCAGACTCTCCAGAAAGTTACAGTGCATCTTTTAAAATGATTCTGAATGCCATGCTGTATTTATATCAGTTATCGGCCATAGCAACAAGACCAGTATCTGTATCAAAATATCCAGATCAGACCGTGAGATAAACGAGTAATTTCACAAGTTATGTTCAACAAAATGGACTGATTTATTTTACCTATTTGGATTTAAGTTTTGTAAATATCTCCTCTTTATATTTTCTGTGCAGGTCACCAGTGCCCCCCTGAGCTCCAGCCCTCCACAGCAGCAGACATGATCATCAGACTGGGCAGACTGACTCCTGGATACTTCCGCCTTCTCCAGGTACTCCAACACACAGTTGCACACAGATCTCAAAGTGCTATATAAAAGTAAAACATTAAAAGAACTTTATAAAGAGGCAATACATCGGGATAAAGTACAAGGTACTTACAGTAGCATTCCTAAATAATGAGTTGTAAATCTTTAAAGGTGCATTGTGTAACTTTTCTGGTGGAGGGTGTCATCTTTCTAGCTTCATGGAGACCAAATCAGACCAAATTACAGGTCAGATCTGTGGAGAGGCAACCCCACTGTTTTTTGCCTGTTTTTCTATGTATTTTTGTGCCATAAAACCACCAGTAATTACTAAATGTAAAGTAGAGCTGTTTAATGTCATACTGTGGAACATTCCAGGCAGAGCAATGACATATCAGTAGAAACATGCCCACAACCAAAAAGTTACATAGTGCACCTTATAAGTTCACTTGAATGAATTTGGTTATACAGTCAGTCAGAGCTTTTCATCCATAATTCGATTAGCACTGACACTAATTTACTGTCACATATTTCCTTTGTGTCAATCTGTTAACATAGCCCACTTCTCAATAGTGGGTTCCTCCATACATCCGAGACCATTGTACTCAGTAATTGTTCACATATTTACACTAATTGGGAAACAAAGCCTGTCCGATTATATTGCTGTATATGGACTCTGCTCAGCAGACCGAAGAAAGTGCCTCAAAGTTGCATAAAGGCTGAACATGGCGTCAATTTGTATCAAGGACCGAGAACTATTTTATATAATGTGCACAAATAAGTAATAGAAAGGGGCTATTAAAGGCGCATTGTGCAACTTTTGTGGTAGGGGGTCTGCCACAAACTTGTTTCCTACTCCTATTAAACTCATCTATGCTGCATTTATTTAATTACAGGTGTTTAACTGCTCAAAAATACAATGAACATCATGCATTCCTACAGTGAGTGAGCTCGCCTCTCCACAGACTTGTAACTTGGTCTAAGAGAGACTAAAATACATTTTTTAATGCAATACTGTGGGACATTCTAGACAAAGCAATACCATTTCCATTAAGACAAGCAGATGGCAGACCCTCTACCTGAAAGTTACACAGTGTACCTTTAACATAACTATGACTGAATGTAGTATAGAGGAGCCCTTGTTGAAAAAAGTTTGGGCAGCCCTGGTATAGTGTATGGGAGTTTGTATATATGTCACCAATCTCCCTTTTACACCTCTTATCACTTAACTGGCTTCTTATAGGAACAGCACATAGGCTTCTCAGATAAGTGACAGTGGACAGCCGTGTGTTAGTATTTCAAATGCACACATTCCTGTGAGTGCTGGAAGCCATTGGCTGGAACCACAAAAGACAGACTGTTCAAATGAGCCTGGTTTGAATGGCCCACATTTTATGCTGCAGTGAGCTGAGTTCTGTGATCTCAAATTTTACACAGAAGCTTGTAAAAGTCTGCTCACAAGGGTGTGAAATTTATTGGGCATTAAAAATATCAACAAATTTGGTAATCTCTAGTTACATCATCTTGGCAAAATGTCTGTCTTGAGAGATGGACCGAGGCCACCACCCTCTGCCAGATGTGCATTGTTTAAAAGAGGTCATATTTGCATACAGGGACCATTATAAACACAAAAAATATGCAGGTTTGTTTAGCTACTGGTCACTTTCTTTGTCAGGGAGTCAACTGATAATCCCTCAAAAGAGAAGCCTGAAGTACTTAGTGGGATGGGGTCTTGTCAAAACAGTTTTCCTTATTGACTGATCTCAGACTTGACTGGACACGTTTCAGAAAGCTCTCGTTAATCTTCCCATCATCCTAACCTTTAACCTTTTTAACCTTTAGTCTTTTTTGTCTTCTGTGCAGAGACAAGTGGCGGGTGAGATCCAGACCCAACCCCAGGACCGTGCCGTCAACCAGATCGCCATGATGCTGGCCATTATGGGTCTGAGCCTGTCCTACTACAGTGCCAAACAGATGACGGAGAAGGTCCAAGCCCAGCAGACACCCTGAACACAACGCTAGCCTTAAACGAAGAGAAGAAAAAGAAGAATAAGTCGCAAGTGAAGGAGCTGAGATGCGGGAGATGGCGTCGGAAGTGTCACGGCGGACAGCACGTTCTACTTTCTCCACAGTCAACAGTCAACGCATCCTCACTATACGCAGATTTCAGAACTGCTGCTGCTAGTGTTTTCCCTGCTTTAATGTCGTTGGGACCTTAAGGGAAGTGTGGGGATTGGGCAAGCTCGCCAGGGTTGGGGTGCCTGGTTTAGTTTATTTTAAAGCAATTCAAAAATGGGTGATCTAAACCAGTTTGTTCTCAACTGGGTCAGGGCATTAGCTGTTTCTAAAGTTCATGTGAGTAAGACGTAGCGAAAACTGGTAAATATTGATTTTACTGTGAATTTTAAAAACAGATAACAGTTATTTGCTTGTTGAACTTTGAGACAGAGTGGTGCCAGGTCCAGGAAGTATTAGATGAACCCGTTTTCTAGTTGTATTTTTCCCTAAGTAGGAAAACATGGCAGCACTGTCTGAACAGAGCTATACTGTCTAAAAATGTTTATAGTGTATAGAAATATTTGAATTTATTTGCACATAACTCATTCATTTTGGATCTTTCGTCAAACGGACTTCAACGACTCACTACCTACTTTCTTTCGTTCACATCACGTTATATTTTTGTTTGGAGTTTTGTAACAATGTTATGGTTTTGTTTTTTTTTGCCTTAGTTGGCGGCCTTGTGGAAGACATTCAAAATTGCATGGGTGTGCTAACTTTTTATCCTTTTGAATCTTTTTTTTGTTTTTATTATTGATGATGAATGAATGTAATGACTTTTGTAATTATTGAATAAAGCTGTGAATATATTGTACAGTCATATAAAGGTGTACAGTGTTGACATTGTGTAAGCTAAAAGGAAAGTGTTAAGTTGAGTATGAACTGAGACTGTTAAATGTCAGTGCTTATATTTGTGGTAAGGGATTTGAAAAAGAAATTTTTAAACCATATTCGTGATTTGCCTGAATATGATCATTTGAAAATTTTGTAGGCAAGATTTTGTAGCATAAAATGGAAGAGTGATTACAATGTCCATTGGTCACTGTAAGCCCAAAATAGCTTTACCAAAAACTGTCATACAGTGAAAACTATTGATAAAGCTAATAAAACTAAATATTATTAGGATATGACATTTCACGTTAACGTTTGCTTATTTTGCACATCATTGAGTTGTATAATCCAGGTCTGGCGCAGTTGTCAGTGCGTATTGTCTATCCGGATGTGTGCGGTCCTGTTCACCGGCTGATGTGATGCGCTGTGACAAACTGAGATCTGCTTGGGCGCCACCTAACCCCATGGCCATGATGTAACTCCGCCCCCTTCCTCCTCACCACATATAACACCATTCTCCGGCTTTAACCGAGTGGGCCTATTGGTTGAGCTTGCGACACGTCACTGAAATTGAAATTCTGTGTGGGTGACATAGGGTGAAGCTTTTGTTTTCTCCCTTTTTTAGTAGGGCTGTCAAAATTAAAGGTGCACTGTGTAACTTTACTGGTGGAGAGTACGCTACCGGGTCATGTCCATGAAGGTGTTATAGGTTTGATGAGAATGTTCCACAGTATTGCAATGTTTTTATTGCTTAAAAATACACTGAAAAACATTCTTACTGTAAGCTGGACTGCCATTCCATTGATCTGACCTGTAACTTGGCCTCATGGTGTTACCTGCTTGTCTCCATGGAGATATTAATAGTTTAAGGCCATTCATTTGGGACGTTCTAAGCAATGCAATAACATTTCCATTGAGACAAGCAGGTGACAGACCCCCCCCCCACCAGAAAACTTTCTCAGTGCAGCTTTACATAATGCAATGTAATGAAGTCCCTTTTGACAAAACTGTTGGAAATAAAGGATTTTAAAGAAAGTGTAAACAAGAAGAATATTTTGAAAGCACCTTAAATGACTCTGTGTATAGACTACCGATAATTGTGCAATATTATTTTGATGAGCTAGCTATATCTGCCATGGTATTGTAGTTTGTATCAAATGTACTGTAAATGTTCTAATACAGGGGATGAAGACGGTCCCATTCCTGCTGTAAATCTATTTAAATAAAGAGTGAAATTTAAGTCTGCCTCTTGTGTGTTATGTGATACTTAAAGGTGCGTTGTGTAACTTCTGGAGGAGAGTCCATTAAATGCTTGGAGATGTTATTGCTTTGTCTGGTATGTCTCACAGTATTAAACGTTCATGTAGACCAAACCAGACCACGTTAAAGTTCACATCTGTTGAGAGTCAGCCCCGCTCACAGTCAGAATGTCTGTTTTTCTACGTATTTTTGAGCAATAAAAACACCTGTAATTGAATAAATGTAAGGTAGAGCTGTTTAATGTCACACTGTGAAATAAATTAGAGTAAAAAGTCTTTGGGAAAAGTACTACTCAAAGAAGAGAGTAAATTAAAGAGTAACTGTCAGGATGTTAACATCTGATTTATAATTTGAAGTTAATGTAATTTGAAGGACAAAATGTTAAATAATGCAAAAAATCTGATATTTTGAAAGGATGGGCACAAATGAGAATGAGAAAAAAATTGAATTATATTTGAAGGAGTGGTGTAAGAAACACAAACTTTCAAATCATTTCATATTGTCAGCATAAAGTTTGTGTTACTTGTAGAGGAAAAACAGCTTTTACTCAAGTAAGAGTACTGGTACTTCAATAAAATATTACTCAAGTGGGAGTAAAAGTATGCAGCCAGAAAAGTACAATTTCCTTAAACAGTACATGTAACTGAATACCACTCACCTCTGGATATGTGTGTATCATATCTACTGTCTCTCCCTGACAGTCAAAGTTTCTAGTGATCAGGATTAGGCCCAGTTTTGTAATTACTACTGTTAAAAGGTGCACTAAATAACTTTTTGATTGGTTGTTTCTATGGATACGTCATTGCTCTGCCTGGATGTGCCACGGTATGACATTAAACAACTATTCACATTATCATATGGTTTTATAGCTCACAAACACCTACAGCAACAGGCATTGTGATTATAAGGGGTGTTGTCTTTCCACAGATCTGACCTGACCTCGCCATTAATGCCATACTGTGAAACATTCCAGACAAAGCAATAACATCTCCATGGACCCTCCACCAGAAAAGTCACACAATGGACATTTAAATTACATGTCTGTGTTGCATGTTAAAAAAGACAACAAAACAAAATCTTTAATTTGACACAACTCTTGTTTTAGTTGTTGTTTATTTGATATTATTTCATTTGACACTACCATCAGCAGTTCATCACAAAACCTGAGACAGTACCAGGTCTCGGAAAGACATTTGGTCGTGGTAAAGTCAAGTCCCGTTTGAGGTAACATTTCCCCCTGAAAGAATGAAAAACAAAACACAGACTTAAACATTTTAGTGGGATTATAAACCCAATAATTATTTCCTATATATTTTACACCAGTCTCTTGCCATTTTTGCTACTTATTTTGATGTGTTATTATTATCATTTATATTTTTGCTCTTTGTTATTATAATATATATAATATCGGTGAGTGGTCACATTTTTATATATTATACACCTTCGAGGCGCTCAAAACACTTTACATCAAGGAACAACTCACCCATTCTTACACAAGTGAACACAGACACTGGGGGCGAGGAGTGTTAAATGTCTTGCCCAAAGACACAACAACAGCATTCATCTGTAGGAGCTGCCAACCTGACCACTCAACCAATGATGTTTTACATGTCGAGAGCAGGATTTGAACCTCCAACCTTTAAATCAGTGGACAAACACTCTACCAACTAATCTACTTTCACCTAGTGTTGTGATGTGTGAGCTACTGTGTCCAAATAATTCCCCTTGTGGATCAATAAAGTTTGTGGATCTTCTTACCTGTGCTTGACTGCAGGATGATTCATTGAGACATAGAGGTAGAACAGACAGTTGGGTTCGTCATTGCAGGCTTTCTTACATTCAAGATCAGCTTTGACAGTAACGTTAAATGCTGAGCCGGACAAAGATCCATTCACAACGTCATTTTTCCAGCCTAGAGATCACAATCAGAGTTAGAGGAGTCTTTTGGGCAAGATATAATAACTTTATAGCTTTATTTGTATAACAGCAACTCAGAATCTCCAAAGTGCACAATAGAAAAAATTAAAGGTCCATTATGTAACTTTTCTGATGGAGAGTCCGTACATTTTTCTCCATGGAGATGTTATTGCTTTGCCCGGAATGTTCCACAGTATGACATTAAACAGCTCTACCCTACATCTATTCAATTACAGGTGGTTTTATAGCTTAAACATACTTAGAAAAACAGACATTCTGACTATGAGAGGGGTTGCCTTTCCACAGATCTGGCTTGTAACTTGGTCTAGTTTGGGCTCCATGAAGATAGAAAGATTTAATATCATACTGTGAAATATTCAGGATGAAGAAATAACATCTCTATAGAGAAAATTATATGACAGACCCTCCACCAGAAAAGTTACACAATGCCCAATTAACACATTTAAGAAAAGAAAGCATAAAAAATAATTAAGCAAGTCCATAAAATTATTCAAATTATTTTAAGGATTTTAACCATTGTAAATATAAATTATAGTTTTACAGCAATAATGAAGAAATTTGGGAAGAAATGTTGAAAAATATTTTTGAAAATTGCAGGAAGTAAAGCGTTCTAACACATAATGATGACATCTCACTAGGGAGAATTCTATCCAAAAGTTTGACAATTTACAAACAAGAAACATTTTTTTCAGCTACTTAAAGCATGATGTGAACACAATAAAGGTGCTTTCTTATATTTGTATTTGTCATATAATAATTTCTGTAATTCTCCAATTTTCCAACCAGGAAGTAAAATTTTAAACCTAAAAGATTGCCAAATTAGGAAAACAAGTGTGAATATTTTATGCAAAAATAAATAATAGTCATTATATTCTCTCCAGTGTGAAATCATCAATATGAAACTCTCTACTATCTGTAATTTTCAACATTTTTTTCATCTTCTCTTCTCAAATTCCTGCTCCGCTGGTGTAAAACTACAATTTAATTTCAACCAATCCAAAAAAAAATTTTAAAATAAAAAAGAACTAAAATTATATTATAAAGTGCAGAATAAATAATGAAATCAAAATATAATACTCTCAACTCTCTTGAAACGTTTCAAATCAGAATATTCAGTAATTTATGTTCTTTAACTCTCTTCATCATCTTGAATCTCATCTTATTTCAAATTTTCACTGCTCCACTGCCATTCTGCTTCAATTTCAACAATGTTTTTTCATCTTCGTCTTCTCATTTTGCTCTACTAAAACCACACACTATATTTACAGCAGGTATTATCCCACCACATTAAGTCAAAATTAGAGAATCATCCAAACTTGTCATCTGCAGTAATGTGAGTAGTCTAGTCATAGGCAAAACTTGTTTTACTCACTGAAGTCCACTTTACATCCCTTCTGGACCCTGCCGGATGTCACTCCTTGATGCTCTGTGATGACCTCAGAGATCAACCTTGTTTCAGACTTCATGTAACAGTTTGGTCCCTTTACGTAGTTTCTGGTGCATAGAAAAGTAACAGATCAGACCTGTAAATTTGCCTTTTATCTGACTGGGATGTTTGTGGTCTGAATCCTACCTGTAGTACTTGAAGACTTGGCATTCGGGGTAGATGTTGCACAGAGCCTGGCAGTGCTGGGCAGAGATGGCACTGAACTTAATAGGATAACGCCCACCCTCCAGCTGCTTGTCCCGATACAGCTGTGAGGGGCACACTGAGAAGAGGAAATGGCAGGTTTAGCTGTCAGCGTTTATTACTAAAGGTTTTAATTACAAAAATTTGACTCTTGTGAGCTTTAAGCGTTGTTATAATGGTGTTATCTCCTCAAAAACATACCCAGAGTTGTGTTTCGTTTCATTCCCACTGTTTGAGTAATCCTTTATTATTAGTCTGTCTACATCTCCAAAGCTCAAAATGCTCTGTTCCACCTTGTGATGTCATGTAGTGGTGGTATCAACATCTGCCTTTTACCTTTAGCTCAGTAGAGACTGGCAATTCTGAAATCATCCAAATGATCCTTGTGAAGCTGTATGGAGTTTAAAAACACAGTGGAGTATTTCTGTATTACCACATGACGTCACAAGGTGGAACAGAGTGTTCTCTGTGTAGCCCAAATATACAAGATGTGTGTGTGCATAGTTAGCCTTTCCATCACAGTAACTAGCATGCCAACTGCAAAAGTCCTAAATACTGGCCAATGAAGCGTTTTATAATTAGATGCAGACAGGAAACAGATGACTTATTTTGATCTTACACAATACTTCAATGTGATTTTGTTCTTAAAGAAAGTGTATAGGTTCAAGTTAATGCATGTGTACCAGGTCTAAATCAGAACTAAACCAAGTCTAAACCAAGTCTAAACCAGGACTAAACCAGAACCTAATGCATAAGTAAACATTAGCAGACCTTCTCCAGAGCCAAAGTCCTCGTCCAGATTGTTGGAGAATCCACTGAAGACTTCATCCATGCGTTGAAAAGTAGGTGTGGGAATTGGCATTGTGAACTTCAGCTCACACTTGGAACTATACACAACACAGGATAGATATAGATAAATATATAGAGAGATATAATCAATATTGGACCACATTTATTGAAATACACTTGATTTTTTTTTTTTTTTACAATAACTAAAATAATACTATTAAGTAGCTTTAATTCACCAAACTTTTATTCTTACCTCGCATCGTCAGTATTGTTATTAAATTCAGCTAGCTTTGTTTTGGTTGATAAAAGCTGAGGACTGTGTTAAATCATTTTAATGCCTGTGGTGTATCGTTTAGACACAAGCAATTTCATGCATAATTTAAATGTCCTATATTATGCAAAATTGACTTTTGTAAGCTTTAAGCCATCTTATAACATTGTTACCTACTCAAAAACATACCTGGAGTTGTGTTTTGTTTCATTCACACATGCTTGAATAAATCTTTATTATTAGTTTGTCTACATCTTCAAAGCTCAAAATGCTCTGTTCCACTTTCTGATGTCACTTAATGCTAACAGCTCCTTTAACCTTTAGTTTAGAAGAGACGGGAAATTCCAGTGCTAAAATTATCCTATAGCAGTATAGAGTATGGAGCCGTACAGAGGAACACAGTGGAGCACTTCCCGTATTATCACATGACATCACAAGGCAGATCTGTTTGAGAGAAGAACTCAGTCTAAATATGCAGAATTTGTATGTTAAACATGTGTGAATGAAACAAAACGCATCTATTTGTGATGAGGAAACAACATAATAACATAGACCAGAAATATATGTCTATATAAAAATATGAGGTCTTTAATGATTAGTTCTTCCAATTACATTTCTGTCAAATTATTAATCACACATTATTAAACTGTGCGTAAGTAATAATTTCCAAATCCTCTTCTGTACTTGAGTAAAAAGTGTATGCAGATTCAAATCTTGTACTGAAGGAGAAATAAATGTGAAAACTACTCTTGAATCTGTAGTTGTAAAACGACTCAAGTTAACACAAATAAGTACTGCTCATATCTGGTGGTGTAAGGAGTGAAATACTTGTACCCTTCATTGTAGTAGGTGTAGAATGAGCAGTGTTGGTCTTGGCGGCACTTCTCTCTGCACTGGTCAGGGTTTTCAGTTTGAACAGTTTCATACGGTCTGTTACTGAATTTCAGTCCCTCGTACACTTCATCGAAACAAGGTTCTGAGGAGAAGACGGACATATGAACCAGGGACAAAACTAGGACTAAACTAAGACTAAATCAAAACCAGGACTAAACCAAGAATGAACCAGAAGTAAACCCGAAATGAACCAGGACTAAACAAGGTCTAAACCAGGATTAAACCAAATCTAAAGCAAAACTAAACCAGAACTAAACCATGTCTAAACCTGGTCTAAACCAGCTCTATACCAGGATGAAACCAGAACTAAACCAGGTCTGAACCAGGATTTAACAGGACTAAACCAGGCGTAAATCAAAACCTGGACTAAACCTGGACTAAATCAAGACTAAACCAGCACTAAACCAGGATTAAACCAAATCTAAAACAAGACTGAACCAGGACTGAACCAGACCTAAACCAGGACTAAACAAGGAGCTGAGCCCAGACTTAACCAGAACTAAACCATGACAAAACCAGGACTTAATCAGAACTAAACCATGACTAAACCAGGACTGAAACAGGTCTAAACCAGGTCAAAACCAGCACTAAACCAGGACTAATGAAGAACTAAGTCCCAGCCCAGTTTAATTTACTTTTAAACTGGCAGCCTCGAAGGTTGTATCCAGAGGTGATTCCAGTGCTGTTTTTGATTTTGAGAGTTCCACTTTTCCACATATAACAGAAGTACTTCCTGTGGTACAGAAAGAAAGAAAGAAAAAGAATAAGTTACACAATGCACCTTTAATGTTTGGCCCTTCATATCGTCGGGCTGTAGAATATAGCTTTACTGTACCTGGTTGATGCAGATGGCCCATGGAACGCAAACACAAAGCATTCTGGTTCTTGGCTGCACATGAGCTGACAGTGGCGTACGCTCGGAGAAGTCCTGATTCGGGATTTTTTCGTGGAGAACTTCACATCTTCACTGAGATGTTCGTCACAGAGAAGCTCACTGAAGACTCCATATGAGCCTGAAGGAAAATCAACATAGACTTAGACAAACTTTACTGATACACAAGGAAATTATTTGGACAGAGTAGCTAACACTTCATAATATAATAAAATAACAAAGAGCAAAAATATTAATGTCATTGTTAAATTCAATAAGGCATAATTATATAAATATGTATGTACAAATAAGTAGAAAAAATAGTAATATAAATACAGTATCTCACAGTGATATAAGACGTCATAAGGAAAAGCAGTGCAAAGATAATATAATGATTGACAGGACATAGGGTTATCTGTCACATAAGGGTGAGTTGTTGTACCAGAACTAAAACTAAATCTAAGCAAGACTTAAAGGGACAGTCCGGAATTTTGGACATAGGACCTCATTTCCTAGTGAGCCAAAGTGTTGGACATGTGTGGAGACACTTTTTTAAATATTCCATCCAGTCCTTGTATTTGCAGAGGTCACTGGTGCTAGGCTAGTGCATGTCAATGGCCACTAAAAACAGTCTTACCCACTCCACAAAGCAACAGAAGCAAATCTATTATTACGCTAGACTGTCGATGTAAATGTCTGTGTTGATAGAATAATTTTAGAAGTAAAATTAACCTTGCATTTGAAGAATTTCTGTCTGAGCACTGAGTTGTACTTCCTGATAGAAAGCTTGGCAGCGGTGGACTGATATCACCTAGCACCAATCTTACTGGCAAAGTAAAATTCTACTGCTGCTGAGAAAATAGTCCCTCAACATGCGACGATTCAGTTCAGTTTAATTTTATTTCAAACATTATTCTTTTAACACATTTACAGTTGACAGTCTGGTGTAATAATAGATTCGCTTCAGGTGCTTTGTGGAGTGGGTAAGACTGTTTTTAGCGACAGGCTAAATATGGCCATTGACATGCACTAGCCTAGCATTAACGACCTCGGCAAATACAAGGACTGGATGGAATATTTTAAAAAGTGTCTCCACACGTCTCCAACACTGTGGCTCACTAAGAAATTGAGGCCCTATGTCCAAAATTCCAGACTGTCCCTTTAAAGGTGCATTGTAACTTTTTTGGTGGAGACCCCATCAAATACTTTTCTCCGCGGAGATGTTAATACTTTGTCTGGAATCTTTCACAGTATGCTATTAAACCTTTCTATCTTTACGGACACCAAACCAGACCAAGTTATGGGTCAGATCTCTGGAACTCCATGTCCGAATGCCTGTTTTTCTAGGTATTTTTCAGCCATAAAACCACCAAAAACTGAATAAATGTAAGGTGGAGCTGTACTGTACCATACTGTGGAACATTCCTACACCAACAATGCACCTTTAATGATGTACTGTATTTATTTTGCAAAAGAATCTTTCCTAGTTTTTTCAGATTTTCCAATTTAAATCATTTTACTTTATGGAGACAAGCATTTCATGGAACCTCCATCAGAAAAGTCACACAATGCACCTTCAAACTTAACAAGAACAAACTTACCCAGGCAGGCGCAGATCAGTACAAGACTCAGTAGAGTGTGGGCCATGGTTCTTGTGACATCCAACCTCAAAAGCAGGACTTAAATACTGCACTAAATATTAGGTGTAAATCTGAAGGAGGATCTGTACCAGGATTTTCAAACAAGATTTGACAAGTTTGGTAAATACCGTTTGTGTAAATACAGGTCTATAGGCAGTAAGTAAGAAAGTATATATGCCCAGACATTCAAATGGCATTTATTTTGACAAGCATAGACAACTGAAGGTCCAGTGTTGTTAGAAAAAAAGACGATGTGTAAACACGTAAATGGTCAATACTGATATTTCGAGGAAGCTCTTTTTTAATTTGTTTGTTTGTTTTTTGGTTGTTACTAAAATGAAAATGAGAAAAATAAAAATAAATTTATCCTTTGACACCAGCAATTCTTATGAAAAATTGGGATTTTTTTTTTTTTTTTTTTTAATTAGACCAAAAAGAAATAACAACAGACAATTTGAGTGTTAAAATAATTATCTGTTGGTGTGATTAAAAGCTTACACAAATGTTGGAATTGTTTTAGTTGCTTTTATTTATTTGTCATTATGTATTGATGTAAAGCCATTCACTGCATGATTTGTACATCCAAATACCAATATACAATGAGTTCAAGTTCTCACAGACCATATAGAAACAGAATAAATAATTATAAAACATTCCAGTTTTTCGTTGGGATCTCCTATGTAAGTCTTTTATCTATGCTGTTGTATACATTAAAGGTGCATTGTGTAACTTTTCTGGTGGAGGGTCCATGAAGATGCTATTGCTTTGTAATATTTCACAGTATGGTATTAAACCTTTCTATCATCATGGAGACCATACCAGACCAAGTTACAGGTCAGATCTGTGGAGAGGCGACTATGCTCACAGTCAGAATATCTGTTTTTCTAGGCTTTTTTGAGCTGTAAAACCATCTGTAGTTGAATAAATGTAAGGTGGAGCTGTTTAATGTCATACTGTGGAACATTCCAGGCTGAGCAATAAAAAATACATAGATTCAAGCAGGTGACGGACCTTCCACCGGAAAAGTTAACAATGCACCTTTAAGTATAAATCTTTGAATATTCAGACACTCTGAGACTAGTCAGGCTGGTGCCACCTAGTGCCTCCACTCAATTTCATTTCTCTCCAGCGACTAGATCAGGAATCAGAATACATTAGACGGGTCCCTTTTGTGGTACAGCACAACAGTAAACAAAGTGGTCTAGATGGATGTAGATGAAGATATACATTCTGTGTTGGCAACGATTCCTGAGATTGAAGATTTAAAGCCGGAACAAAGAGAATGTTTGGTGAATTTTATCAAGGGGAAAGACGTTATTGCCCTTCTTCCTACGGGATTTGGCATTTCATACGTCACAACCAAACAGCAGCGACTGGTTAAATAAAAAAATTTACCCGCCTACCATCGAGCAAACGAATTCTAATGCTCAGACAGTTCAGACAGTTTCCACGAAGTGGAAACTAAGGTCAAACAGTTTCCACGAAGTGGCTGATGAATCGGGCTACTCTGAAACACCATGAGAAACAAACTGTTGTCCAAGTCTTATAACACAGACCATCCCAAAAGTCAAAGGATCCTGGATATATTCAAATAGACTTACCTGTTAGTATTATTAGACTGGGAACACCAAAAGCAAACATCATTAAAACTCACAAAAAGTGAGTAACAATCTGAAATTCACACAGATTAAAAAATACTGTTGAAGTTTTATCTGCATAATTTCACATGCAAAACGTGCAATCCAAGTTTATTTATTTCAGTGCTAGTGATGTGAAAATCGTGAACAAATTGGCTCTTTTGAACAGGTCCTTAAAGGTGCACTGTGTAACTTTTCTGGCTGAGGGCCTGTTGTCTGCTTGTCTCCATGAAGATGTTATTGTTTTGCCTGAAATGATCTGCAATATGGCATTACATTTATCTAACCCCATAGAAACAAGCTGATGCCACTTACTCAACTACATTTTTTAGCACATTTCATTTTTGACATTCTATCCAAATTTTGAGCAAACCAAATACACAAAAACAAAAAAAACAGCTATAAAAATTACGAAATAAACTGAATCACTTAAAGTCAGCTAAATTCTTTATGAAAATCACTGCATTTTATCTTTTAATTGTCTTTTTACTCTTTAAGTACTTAAAACTTTTACTTAAGTAGATTTTTTTTCATGATACTTTTACTTTTTCTTGAGTATTTTTTAGTAGTGTAATGTTTTATTTAGATATTTAATTCTAAAAGTTCCTCACACAGTCTCACTCTCAGTTTGGGCCATTTTAAACAGAGTTTGTAGATAAAATTAGTTCTCACATTGGTATTTGTCATATGAATAAATAATAATAAATAAGCCAATCTTCTGAGTGGCTCTTTGAAATGAGGTGATCCAAAAGATTCGGAGCCCACAAAGGATCTGAAAGTCCCATCACTAGTCAGTACAGGACCCAGACACATGCACGTTGAATGAATAGACTGTATTTTGCCTGTATTCTCAAGGTTTATTTATCAATGTCAAACAATCTTTGAGGAATAGAACAATTTTAAGATCTAAAATAAACAAATGGATTAGATTATAGGTCATTATACTTTGACCTTTACTTGTATAATTTTATTTTTGAAGTAGATCTACTCTTGTGTCAAAGTTTTGGTTACTTTTGCTGCTGTTTCTTTGAGGAACTGACATATGGAACAGAATCATTTGGCTCTTCCTGCAGGCCTCCCCTATACTGTTTTGTCTCCGTAGTAGTGTTGTCACAACACTAACATTTCAAACTTGGTTTTTAATACTAAAGATAAGATTCGATACTCAATACCGATTCCGATACCACAATGATAATTAAAAACACTCTCTTTAGACAATAGAAAGTGATTTACAACATTAAATCATAGTACTTTCTTTTATTTTACCACTTGTCCTTATGTTTGTGTAATCCCTCAGTGGTTCAGGTAGGTTCCACAGTGGTCCATGGGCACATACTAGTCTATGTGCGCTTATACTTGTTCTGATACAGCTCAAGATCATTCTAAAACTATTCAGGAAACTGACTTGGCTTGGCTGACTTGACAGGAAATGTGACTTTTTAGTATCGATACATGCTCAAATGAGTATCGACTAGTTTTAATATCGATTAATGTCTGATTTACAATATTTTTGACAATTCTTTTTCATAGCGGAATATGAAAAACAATTTAGGTGAAATGTATTTTTCTGTCTCATTCTACTCTCCAAACCCTGTTGCATTTGTGGGTGTCGATACAAATTAGTATTTCCTCAAAATCTAAACTAAAAACTATCACTAAACTATAAAAAATGCAATCTATCTTGAGTTATTTTAGAGTAATAGGACAGTGACTTGTGTATATTTTTGGTTTCTCACTCTGCACATGAGGATTTGGGAGCAGAGGGGTCCACGTGCAGCAGGAGCAAGTGTCCAGCCAGCTCATGTCAGAACAGACACTGCCCCGGAGCACAACAGCATGTCTCATACACACACACACACACACACACCATCATCACGACACACACAGACTCAACAC